TAGTATATGTACAGTTATTAGTACAACGGACTATGGACATGCTACGGACTTGGACACTTTAGTTTAAATGTGTAGTGTATGTTGTGCTTTGTCTTTTGTTTGTTATTGTACCTGTTATACAGACGCTTGTCTCTTAGGTTTGCTTCGTCTCATGAAAGAATAAACTTTTTCTAAACAGGAGCTTCGCCCCTAATAGTTTGACTAGGTGCTTCGAGACGCAAAGGCGGGGATTTGTATGTACATGGCCCCAGCCACTGTCAGCATTACAGTAGACTTGCGTTCTAGACTCAAACTCCTGCTTGTCGCTGCGACAATTCGACTGGTGCACCCAGGGGGACTTCTAAAGAGTCATTTTCTAAACATTCGGCCATGGCGGTGAACTGTGCAAGTATGACTACAGCAGTGTCTTACGGCCGTAACCTGCTAACTGTCTGGTCGATGTTTACTTGAAGTCCTACGAGTACTCTCTGTACTTTCCTTTTACCTAAACCCTAGCTTGTCTCATTGTTCATTTATATAGAGTAAGCTGGTGATTTCAAATGCTAATCTGTCGCCCTTGCTTTCATCTCTTTCTGTTTACCAGCCGGTCGCCCAATCATAAACTGGCAAAATGATTTCTTTGCCTTCTTTCTTGGGAAAATGCTCATGCCCTCATTGTGTAATGACTTTGAAAACATCACTATGATTCTCAAAACTGAACAAAAGGACGCTTAGAAGGCTCTTTAGCCCAATCGCAAGGTTTAATTCACTGATTATTTGCTTTTTTTTTCCTTCGCTGATTAATCGCCAAGCCAACTCGTCGTCTTTTACCACGTTCCCATAGCGCATTCGAATCGGTAACAGAGCTGCAAGAGGTGCAGTACCAGATCCATTGGAAGAACTGGAAAAATTGGATGAACAGACCTTCGTGGTGCAGTGAGTTTAGCCAAAATGGTGGCGAAAATCACGACGATGATAATGATGAGGACGAGGTAACTATCCTGAATATTTTAGCACACATGTGATGTTGACGTCTGCTTATTCAGTGTTCACCTACCTTTGGCACTGTGACTCTCAATGTATCTTCACTCGCCTTCACAGCTCCAAGTGCTTTGGGCACGAACATGTTTGCCACTGCGCCGAGCAAACTAAGGAACTTCACATGTAACGCCCCTCGTGTTTGATGTATGTAGCCACGGGCCCCCTTATATAGGGTTTGTTGCTTCATGTCCCATTGGCAACTGGGTTATTGCGGTAGCCGATAAACTTGACGCGGCGAGCGCGCGAAAGATACACAACATCGATCGATGCTTCTGCAGATTCTGCGCCGTACAAGAACTTGATGACTTGGTCGTCACTAATGACCCGAGAGTATTTGCAGACCATAACTACACCCGGAATCCACAGACCCCCTCTTTCCCTTTCCCTTTTTCCTGGTCCTCCTTCTCACGCATGTCGTTAGCAAGACTCAGCCGTGCCAACAGAGAGAGAGAGTGAGGTCTTTGGGAGTATTATGCGGTGATGCTCAGCATTTTTGTTTTGGTTTCGTGCCTAAAGTACAAATTAAGTCACGGCATACTTCCCTCTGCTCAATGTCATTAGTTTCCGACCAGAGGTTCATCAGCAGCGAGTCGTGGATGTTTCGATAAAACAGAAATCTCTGCAACTAAATATTTCTTTCTTCGCACACTTTCTTTGCCAATGTTTGCACTGCGAGATGAGCACAAACAAGAAAAAAAACTCAATAACTCTCAAGAATAATAATGCGTGTCGTTGGGTATCTTACGAGCCATGTGTCAGCGAATGTCCGAACATTTAGCGTATTTGCTTAGTCATTACTGCTAATATATCATGGACGCCATCATTAAATTGTTTTTGTGTGATCTGCTCGATGATTAGTGATAGGCTTTTATTGTTTCAATGGGCTATTGTACTCAGGAGGCTAGAGAACAACGAAACTTTTTGCGAGTCACTTTAGTTCAAAGAATTGTCTGCTAAAGTCTTGGTGTATATTTTTTTCTCTCGGAACACAATGTAGCTGCCAGTAAAATAATAACGTCCTTGATGGCTCCACAGGTTTCCAACATCGACAAACAATACGACTGGAGATTATGAATTCGAAGAACTTGTTTCTGCAATTCTAAAACGCTATACGCTTTGTTATTCATCTTATTCATTTGCTTGGACATCATCATGATGCGACGCAAGATATTGTGTTGAAATTGTAGCTTTTTTTCGAAAAGTAGTGTATTTATCATTGAAACTCGTTACACATTACAGGGCTCGGAATTAACAAGTGTTTTTGTAAATAAACAAAAAAAATCGCTGAAGTATTCCACACAGATAGTTAACCAGCCTAGCTAAAACGTAACGCCACAGGTATTTTCAGATGTCCCAGCCAAATTCAAAGTGCCACTGATGAACCCCCCGCCAAATGCAGCCGTTCGCCACCAGTGAACGTATTCTCGCCAATGCTAAAGTGAGCTAGAAGAGGTTTTCTAGCTCACTTCAGCCGTGTTGACACTATTTTGCTTAGAACACCGCTTCCTCGGGCTCGCCGTTGTCGCCTGCATGTGGCTCGGAAGTCGACGGATCCTCGATGCGCAGTTGCTGCCTACGCTTCACCGCCGATGTTCATTCGCTCGCGAACAAAAGTCTCACGAATGAGCTGCTGGCACTGTTCTTAAGATGTTGTCGGCTGTTTGGCTGTTCTCGCGGTCCGTGCTTTCCCCTGGTAGCAGTTAAAACTTGAGGCAAATTTTTTTAAACCTCCTTGTTTGAAACTGCTGCGTGCGGGCTTGGCAGCATGGCGGCGCAGGGATTAACGATAGCACTGCCATTAACACGCACGATTAGGTTCGATGTAGGTAATGACGTAACTGATGCACAGTCATTGGAGACCGTTATCATTTCTCGTGGTAAACGAATTTCCGTTTCGCCACCCCGTCGCGGTGGTCTAGTGGCTAAGGTACTCGGCTGCTGACCCGCAGGTCACGGGTTCAAATCCCGGCTGCGGCGGCTGCATTTCCGATGGAGGCGGAAATGTCGTAGGCCCGTGTGCTCAGATTTGGGTGCACGTTAAAGAACCCCAGGTGGTCAAAATTTCCGGAGCCCTCCACTACGGCGTCTCTCATAATCATATGGTGGTTTTGGGATGTTAGACCCCACAAATCAAATCAATTTTCGTTTCGCCTAGCCATATATACCTTTCTCTGTAAAAACAGTTCTGTTTAGTTTCCCCTCGTAAGTGATTGCGTGTTTTTAGGTGACTGAACGAACATATTAAATGTAGAATTCAATGTACTGTCTTAACTACTGCAGGTTGTTTTAAACTGCTACAATCATAATGTAGTACAGTGCCAAAAGTGGACAAACGAACGAGTGATGGGACAAAGACACAGCGCGTTCTTTCAACAAAGATTTATTAAAATGGGACGCACGTATATGTACCCAGGCAAATCAAGAAAATAAAATATAAAACCAGGAAGTAAAATTGAGAAGTAGAAATCTAGAGAAGCGCCGATAAGTCAAACATGTGTTCTAATATTGCTCATTATTTTCGATAACTCGCCAAAAACAAAAGCTCTTTGTCAGAAAGGTGCTAGAAAGGCATGTTGACGTATGCTTCCCAAGACCATTTGATTTCCTCAGCCTCGATGATTTCCATCACTCTTTGGTCCTTGTTGCGTACAAGGACCACGGTGTTTTCAAAGATAGGGCTACACTTGCTGTCCTGCACATGGATGCCGACATGCCCCGACACTGTTGTATAAACGCTGTAATGGTGCTCACGGAGTCTATCGTTCAGACAGCGTCCCGTCTAGCCCTCTTACTTTCTACCACACGTCAGAGGGATGACGTACACGATGACTTAATGCATGGTACGAACTTTTTTAGCTTAAGGTCTGTGGTGAAGCTTCTTTTCTCTCTCATCCAAGAAGGGCCATCTAGCGGCTTGAGGAGGCTTTGGTGAAGCAACGGAGAAAACGATCCGACGAACCGTCTAACGGGCGCGGGGGCACCCGAGTAACTATCGCCTAGTCGGAGCACAACATCCTCGAGGTCTAGGATCTGTGATTATCGGACTCTAATAGCCGTAATATTAAGATAGGGAACATCCGTGCCCTGCGAGGCCGGGGGCTTTCTAGATGCCGGATGAATAAATAAATGGTATTTCTCTCTCTCTCTCTCTATCATCCAGGAGGTCGAATGGCACAGGCCAGAAATCTTCTGAGGGGCTGAGAAAACCGCACGAATCCAATCGCTTTCTCCAAATTTCTTAAGCCCGTGCGAGATGTCACGCATATAGGGTGCCACAGCTATCTTCGTCTTGTCTTGCACCGTCGATCACACTCAGCGCTCTTCCTCTCTCCTGAGATCTCTGACATACCTAAGCAGGTCTTCAGTCACAAGCAACACCACGTCCGGCGTGAAAACTCTGACCATGAGGTGGGTCACCTGCTCCAAAAATGCATCATTCACCTTGTGGTGACACGACTTGCACAAGGCGCTCTGCAAGGCCTAGTTCGCAATTGCCCTTTTCGCTAGCTTCGAGTGCCCCAACAAGAAGAGCAACAAATGGCTTCTGCGAACGAGGCTCATCCCGCCAGCAGGTGTTCTGTCTCGAAAAAAAAAGAGCCTCAAGTCCAGAAACTTCATGATGTCAAATTCAGGGAGCTCATGCGAAGCCTCAAGTGGTTGGAACTCGTCCTGGAAGACCTTTAACATTGACATGGCATCCTTCTCGCGACCTGCCAAATCTGCCGAGTAAAATACCGAAACGTCGTCCACATACCGCGAAACTTGTAACTTGTAACGCTTTTAACTAGTGCTCATCCAATAGGCTATCAAGTCCATAGTTTTACTGTTCCCCGTGGTTTTTGTGGCAGTGCAAAGATATCAGAATACCTAACAAAATTTACTACAATGTTCGAGCAGGCAAAACCAGACTAGCGACACCATTGTGGGGGTGTTTTATGACGAGGGCAGACATATGTAGGCACAGGCGGGGTTGTAAACGGTTAGATGTCAATATATGCCTTAATGGTTTGTGGTATATCACTTAGCCGTTGCGTAGAACACAATTATCAAGCTTTGATTATCTATTCTTTAAGCTCATCCGTGCGGCCTACAGGCGTGGAACACTTCCTGCACCTCGCTTTCGGGAACTGCTTCAAGGGCTGTCACTGGTACTCAGGAGGCCTTCCCTATATAGGGAAACAGAACACGAAATTGTACGCTAAATGAACATGCCACTGAGAAACAATCTTGATGGATGAAGGAAGAAAAAGACTGTGGCATGCTTTTAAGCTTATTGGCTTATAGTAATATTTTTAGCAAGAATCAACTTGAAAGAGAGAGACAGAGAGAAAAGAGAAGGCCGGGCAGTGAACCAGATATTGGCATCTGGTTTGCTACCGAGCACCGGGGGTGGGGAAATAGGGGCAAGAAAGAGGTGGTAGATAGAGAGAGAGAGAAAAAAACGCACGTGCACTCATGAGAATGGTGCGGGTATGCTTGTTATCGAAGAGGTGAAATAACGTCGCGATGTAGTTTCCAGAGAAAATTCCTCACCCTCCGGACTGCTTGTACTTTTTGTAGCCGAAGGCGAGAAGACCAGCAATTACAATGATCGCCAGTGGAATGAGGACGGCGCAAAGGATCGTTGAGGTGGAAACGCCAGTTGAAATGGGCTCCGCTGAAAATGGAAAAAGAACATATATATATATATATATATATATATATATATATATATATATATATATTTATATATATATATATATATATATATATATATATATATATATATATATATATATATATATATATATATATATATATATATATATATACGGGGTTCGAGTAATAACTATACGCTTTGCTTTTTACTGGTAAATTCTCAAGATATCTCACACCGCACATCATGTCGCGCTACTCGTGAATAAAGATAACACAAGAAATAGAAATGATAGATAATTTGAAAGTTAAAAAAAAAGACATATTGTGAGGAACCGGTTTATTTGGCCAGGCTCGAGCTCAATCACGCCGGTGATGATATTCTTAGATGAAGATGATGTACAGGTGATGATGATTACAAAGAGAATAAAGAGTCATTCGCTTGTTGCGCTCACAATATTACCAGCTTTTTTAGGTGAACGGTAAAAAAAAATGAGTAGGTGTGAACAAAAAAGAGGTTAACAAAGAAACACGTTACTAGGGTTCAACGTTTAATATGGTCCGTAACGTGACGGCTATGTAGAGGTTAGCATATTATTAAGCTGTACTAACTGTAGCAGTAATTTGGTTAAAGTCGAGACAGCTCGGAGTGAAGCAATAATAGTACGGCTTGAGTCTCACATGTCTAATTCTCAAGCTGGTATTTCTACTTAAAAACTGCAAACACCGCCTGAAAGAGCAAATTGTTCAAAGCGACTGCTGTAGCCCAGTTGGGTGGCATATCCTGTCCAATAAAATTAAATCATAGTGGACTTCATCTTCAAGATGGCTACGCTAGTCGAGATAATAATTACAAAGCACAGAACGAGCAAAAGCACTTTGTAATTTCATCGATAAGAGGGTGAATTTCATTTGTATTGATTCTACGATGTAAGCAATCCCCAGACAACAAAATAGTAAGGCCATAGTTCTTTTGAGTATACTGCTTGCTAACACGTTTCATGTTACTACACAGAAATATACTCGCTGCATATTTGTCGCCAAAAGACTCTTAATCACTGTTTTGATTAGTTTCTGACCACTATTGGCTTAATAAACCAACAAATAACGCAGCGTGCGCAGTTTACAACAATGTCCTATAGAATGAAAGTTGAAAGGGCTATAAATTAGTGTAGTTATTGGCCAGTCACTTCAGTTTGCATCATGATACATGTTTAATACAGCAAGCAATTGATTGAATTGATTGATTGCACGTCTTGCAAATAAGAACTTCTATTATCAAACGTAGCTCTAAAGGGACAGAAAAAGAGAACAGTGTTTTATTTTTCTTTGTTTTCGTGCTGTGTTCATTGATGAAATATTACCAACAAACCCAGCAAGCGACCCTTTTACAGTACTTCATTGAGAAATCAGCCAAAGGAGTCTTTGCATATTATCTCAACATATCATGCAGGTCAAACTTGTAACTATCTTCGATGCATATCATCTTGATAACGATCTAGTAAGTAATATGTCATCTCTGCGGCTTTTGTTGTTCAGTGTACTGCACATCTACGTATAGTTAAACTTGTCAAAAACTTTCAGAGATATTCAAAACAGTCGAGCAATACAAATCTCCATTTAAATATGCCTCGCAGGAAAAGCGGCTGAGCCTTATTACTTAGCCAAGCTTAAGAACTTTAAAGAGGATAATGTCGATGATTCTTACATAGTAGACGTGAACACAAATGTCTTCAGTACCGCATCTTTCATAAAACTTCCATAAAGTCTCATATCCATTCACGAAATGAGTTTATCTTACCGTCATTCGAAATGGTGCTGCTGTAGTGAGGTTCTTTTGTCGCTTCGCTGTGTTCAGTGCTGGAGACCATCGCTGTTGAGATGTGCTCTGTGGTGAGGATCACTTTTGCGGTTCTTTGTTCTGTCGTGGTTGAAGACGGCTGGTCAGTGACAGTCGACTTGTCTTCCGTTACGCTTGAGAGAGTGGTTGTCTGAAGCGACAAGGGCAGCAGCATGAAAGTCACTTCTACGAAAGATATCTAAAGAGGTTCGCTATACTGAAAAACAACATTAAAGATCGCGACCTTTTCTCTTCCAAAGGGTATGCATGCCAGCACGCACAAAGAAGGCCTCGTCACCGACCGTCCGACTCATGACGTCAGCCCTGACTGCTGACGTCAGCTCTCCAGGCTGACGGGATGAGTCCAATGGTCGATGACAGCACTTTCAGGTATCATTGACGAGTGGACAAGCGGAATATTTGCTTTTGTCGTAATGGAGATTTTCGGACTCCTTAAGTTGTATACTCAAGAATACATGTGGACCCGTCTCGGTGTTACGTAGTCTATTCTTTAAGAACACACTGTTGCTTCTACTCTACTCTTTGCATGATTTACCAGCAGCTCACCTTATTGTTATGTTGTTTGTTATACTCTTACTTACGTTTTTTTTTCATTTTGTAGTCAGAATAGCGTAATAACTAACTGCATGCATTCTCTGACGTGAGGTTATCTTACGAGGCTTTAGGTGTACCCTTGCTAAAGCACTGCCTCCTTATATGCTATTCCTCTCTGCTTTGGAAAAATTAGAACCAATTTCCATGCAGGTAATATGTTGTCAAGCAGGGTGTAGGGTCTTTTTTGTAAACAGGTAATAAGAGCGCCTGGCGACCTTTCCAATTGGCAAGACTAAGGAACGACTAATTAAGCAGGACCCTTTACATGAAGCGATTCGGAAAAACACGTAAGATTGGTTTCAGTTTACACCCGCGATAGTCTTTCTGTATAAAGTTTGACTGGATATTGTAGGCAAGCAACTTACGGGAGCAAAACGAGACTCCGCCCTGAACATATCTTAAATGAGTGCATTGTTACGCTTTTGGTAAAGCACGGCTGGTATCAGGATGTTGTTAACGCGACAAGTAACATCAATTCTTTTTGATTTACTCCCAATCACACGTTCAACTAGGTTCAGCGTAGTAATTGAATATACATGAACGGCCGTGAATAGTGCTGTAATTCATGCTCATAATAAATAAAAAATATATTCTTACTGATGTAGAAAGGTAAAGTTAGATGAACTATTCGAACAAAAAAAATATACCTTATACAACTCAGTATTGCTAAGCAGCTCTACGGAATGCCCCAAGACAGCGGAAGGGCTAGAAAATGGGAAATTGACAACAACCCGTTTGAAGCGCAAAGCCATATGAGGATCCACATATCCCTCTCAAAAGGAGGAAAACATTGTTGCTCTTGAAAAGTTCCTCCTAGTTCTTCTGGTATGAGTAATGAACCCCAGAGTGAACCTTCCCGGCGTATTCGCTGACAATTTGTCCTCGTTCGGCCAATGGCAACATCTTGCGTATCTAATTTAGAAAAGCAACCATCCCCGAAATGCATTGTTTCCGTATTCGGTCCTCGAACTGGGACAAATTTTTCGTCAGCTAGGAAGCGACACTATTAAGAAATTGGTGTTCATTTTGTCGTAGCTCTGTGCTAGGAAAACGTGGTTGTCGGCTTTCATAACCAGGTACAGGTCTCCTTACACACACACATATATCTAATTTAAATGTTAAAGTTTTTTCCAAAGAATATGAAATATAGCAAGGTTATCATTATGTGAACTTACCGTTTCCTCTGCAGGAACAATGTATGCTGAAAACGAAAGGAGAAGCATTATGACCGAAAAATTTCTAACATCAGCACCTGCAATCAATAAGAAATGATAGATACTGACAATGTTAACACTCTAGTTACAAGGGTTTTCACTTATTCGCATTTCATTTCAGTTACCAACCATAGTTTGCGGAAATAAAATAAATTAAAGAGTTATCATTACTGCTTGACGACGGCTGCCCTTTCTAATTGGTTGTTAAATAATTAAAAATAGGAAAACAAAGAATTATGCTTTTGCAAGTTCGAATTTGAACAGTCGTGGTTCACACTTTCAATATAGTGCATAGGTTCAATATTTATCACAAACGTTAGTGTCTTCAAAGAAATGTGGCCGCATGTTCATTGATTTGCGTTTCATTCTAGTTGACCTTGGGTCTAGTGTTTGTGAGAACGTTAACCTCGGCTTTAGCGTGCCGAGTTCATCTTCTAGTCACTCTCTATGTGTGTCGTGTTTAGGACATTCCTTCAACCCATGATACACCTATACATCCTCGTGGCCGCACGAGCATGTTGGAGATAAAGCACGCTGAATCATACGCACTCCTTTGAGTAAGCAGTTCCACGTTTTAGGTGATGCATGGGTGTGCTGATATGTCTTGGTAGTTGAGGATCTAGTTGGCACTCAAAACAGGATGAACCGCGAACAAAGCGATTCCTGGTGTTTTTGATGCTTATTGGCCAGACATAAATTATGCTATCATAGTTATCATCATCGTTCTAATTATCATAATCATTTTAACCTATTAGCTTGAGCCGAAGTACATGCTATTAAAAAAGTCCCGCTCTTTTTGTTTGTAGTCCTAAAGTATTCAAAACATCACCTCCATCATGCTTGTTAATGCGAACACGTTGGAACACGGTGAATAGTTTTGCACGACACATGTGGCTTCACGCATTGGCGAAACGTGAAATTAAAAACCAAGAGGATGGCGTTTGCCTATTTTATGCACTCATTCATTCAGGATTCTTTCTTTTATTATATGTTTGTATTACTTCGTAGATGCCGCAGGCTTTTGCCGATAGCAGAAGTCATGCCTGTGAATCTTATCTACGTCATGTTTATCTATGTAAGTTAGCTTCACGAAAGATAAAGAAGGCTGTCTTTTTTTTTCATCACTAATGACAGTATCTACACACGTATGACCGTAAAGGCAAGTGTGACAAGTGTGATCTGCATGAATATTCCTGATGCTTTCCGCGTTGTATCGAATGCTTCCGAAGCTGTGATAGAAATAATCCTCAAACGCAATCGCTTTTTACTCAAATGTACCAACAGAAAACAGATACTAATGAACATGCATAAAAATAAAGGCACATTCGAGACGGGAGTGTAAGCAGTAAAATTAACCACAGAGTTTCCTATGAGTACACTAAAGGTAAATGGGGCTCTATAATCTACAGAACTTGCAACGCACAACACTGCAACCATCATGGAAATGATCTTTGCTACACGGATTGGTCTAAACTTCGATATTTCGGCTCCGTAGGGTTCCGTGTACCCTGAATCTGCCTTGTCACAAGACAAAGTTTGGGTAATCGTCGGCAGCTCCAATCCATCACCTCAACATTTTATGCTCACCAATTCTGATTGGCTCACGAAGTTCAAGCAATCCATTCTTTTATCCAAAACGAATGCTAAAGCAAAACAATAAACAAGGCCAGACGTGCGTTTAAAGCCGTTAGCACAAATATTAGGCAAAGCCGTGTACAACCCATCATTCTCACGGTGACCTAATGAACGCAGCGCCAGCGTGCTCTCTAGGTAAATATAGGAAACTGTGCGGAAGGAACGGCACTGCTTTCTCTTTTATTATCTTAACGTGGCACGGCGCCCTAACTCGTATGCGGTACGAGGCCTGCTTCCACGCAGTTTTGTGCTCCCTTTCATAAAAAATGAAGGCTCTACGTGTAAGAGGGGATAGCATCATACGCGATGCCCGCTATTCAACCTCGCTTAGATAAAAAAAAATACGTGGCAAGCATAGGTGCCGCCTAAAACTAACAAACGAGTTATCAAAAGAAAGCTTAATTAGTGTCATGGTGCCCACATGTGTGGTAAAAGACTTACCCACTTAATAGATGTGCGTTTACTAAACGTTCGAACCGACAACACTACCGGGATAGACGTGGAAGAAATGCGGCGTTATATACTCTATACTTCTGTCCTTGCAGTAATTAGTTTGACTAGGGGCGTCCTTCGGTGCTGCAACGTGGCCATGGTGAAGTTTTATCGGTCATAAAAGTTGAAACGAATAGTGGTCGAATTCATCTACACCCTAACTGTGTTTCACGAATGTGTGGCCGGTGCTATGCGGTTCAGTAGGCGGAGTCAACATTTCGTTTTAGGGGCGAAGCTCCCTTAGCCACACCCGTTTGTCTCTCGTAGTCGTAGTAGTAGTCGTAGTGTGTAACCAGTCTTAGATTTTGACCTTCCAAGGTGGTGCCGGTGAGAGATTTTTTTTTTCTGTGCGTTGTTGAACAATAAAAAATTCGCAGCGTGCGCGTTAACTAGAAGAAGAATTCTCCTGTCTCTCATTCCCCCTTAGCAGCCATCGGATGTACATTGAGCCCTATCTGACAATAAAGGGTTGCTACATTATACTCGCTGGGCATAGGGTTATACTCCCTTGTTTTAGAAAGGTTTAGCGAGCGTTGGGCTTCAGTGACATGAATGCAGTGAACTAGTATATACCGTGAACTCGAGGTGGTTAAAGGTGGGAAGTAGACACGAAGCACAAGCCGTAAGAAAGTGCGCGTGTGGCACCTCTCGTTTAGTTCTTGGAATGTCCGCTGGATGGCGGCGCATATGCGGAATATATGATGAAAAGATGCGAGATGGTGGTACTTGGAGTGTTGAATAGATGGACGAACGGACACACAGACAGATGCATGGACGGACCCACGGATGGCTGCACCGACGGATGGACGTATGGACGGACGCAGGAGCGGATGCATGAACGAACGCAGGGACAGACGCACAGATGGACGTGCGGACGCACGAACAGACGCACACACGGACGGGCGAATGGATGCACGGACGGTCACACAGACGGATGCATGGACGGACGGAAGCAAGAACGAATGGACGGGCGGATGCTTCGCCCCACTCTCCATCATTCACTCCTTGGATATGCTGCCATTTTTTTAATCTGCAACTTAGTGTGGAAAATATAAAATGTACACTACTACAAAGGGGAGGACCCTATGTGAAGCGTAAGGCAGACTCACGCCCCGTGTCGGCGGAGGTAGCCACGTAGGCAGCAGGTAAGCTGACTTCACCCGTCTCGTAGTCTAACAATCCCAGGCTCACGCGGGTCCTGGCAGAGACGCCAAAGACCGTGGGGCCTTCGCAGTTGACTGGGACGTCCTTGAGGGCCCTGGAGTCGTTGGCCACGCGCGCGAAGGTCACCGTGCCATTGCTACTGTAGATGGTCACCGTGTAGCCCGACACGGTGAATTTTCCCAGCCGCGCTGGCTTCCAGCTCAGGTTGACGAAAGCATACCTGCCGCCGTTCTCACAACTCGTGCGGTCTTCGACAGCGATCAAGTCGCGGGGCAAGAAGTCAAGTCCTACGGGTGTCGGAGGAAGACAGAGTCATGTTAGTACTGCTAAACAAGCACTCCTGCAGAGGATCTATGCCAAAATTCAGACATCGAACATTTGCACGCTTTGCTAAGATTTTGCCGGCTTAGAAAACACGCTCTGGAGCTGTCTCACGTTACACGGTGCCGAGCACTCTACGCCAGGGAAGTGGGAGGCTGCCCTGCACAGCCCGGATTTCAAGGCAGAACTATGGACAGTCCAACAGGAACATGACGTGTAGGAGAAGCTATGCCTATCTGTCGAGAAATGGCTGTTATTCGCTACATGCTTACTTACGCCTAGGAAGACCCTAAATAACGTGATTCCAGTCTATTATGTAATATCCCGAAAATCGCATGCATCGAAAATGTTGCGTGCGAAAACCACGATATAGTGAAACCAAGTGACCAGGAAGAACAACCTTCGGATACCGCGATGTCGTTGTTAGGCACGCTGTAATGAACTATTCGAAAACTTTTGACCATCTGACTTTCCTTAACGTGCACTAACATCACACATTACCCGAAACTTCAGCACTTCGCAACACGATCCTCCTCTTCTGCTTGAATTACACTTTGAATGACTCCACGCAGTCGAAGTCAAGGCGGAGTACCCTATAAACGTATTTCACATACATATTGTCGTTTTGGCACGTAAAACCACATTATGTAATAATAGAGGGTACCTCCGGCGTTAGTTACTTCCGTTGTTCTGATTGTTGCACTTACATTCATCCTCCGTTTTAATAATTCGACAATGAACATTGATTGATTTATTGATTGATTGATTCATTGATTGAGTGATTTTTTGAAAGAATATAGGGCTAAACCGTGGACGGACAAACCATCATCTCTAAGCCCTTTCATCTTGTCATAAACAGTGTTTATAAACATAGTGATACCGGAGGTTGATGTGGAAAAATAGTGAAAATATATACATAGATATAATAAGGATAGTTGACCACAGGTACAATTTGCTTTTTCATACATACGGACGAAGAGTTCGCGACGCCATCGCAGTTTTTTTGTTTTTTTTTGAGGGGGGGAGGGGGGACAGGAGCACTACGTGGCACTTTTATTTCACTTCAAAGCATTCTCGTAGGAACACCTACTTTCGGTTCTAAGAATATTCATAAGAACTCTCAAAAGATGTGTATATATGCTTATCGTTGCAGTAAACCATTGCCCTGGAAGCATATCACACCACAGCATAACATTACTGAACACAAGCACCAAATATCTCTCCTCAAAGTGACTGGAAACGCTTGATTGAGTTAAACTGCTAAGAATATGAGCAGATAAAATCGTCAGGGTGCCTGGCGGTGCGAATTCCCAAAGACAGGATGCCACGTGCTTCATTTTACGTTGGCTCTGAGATACATTTCTGCAGTGCACGAAACGGAAGTTAATCGTTGAATTAGGCAAGGGAAACAGACTGCCGACACGCGTAGTCACTATATACTGAACACCTAAGACAAGGATTAGAGTTCCCTGTGGAATCGTTAGCTAAACGCGCCTCCCTACCACCATCTCTATTGCTTCATAGCGCTGCAGAACGGCGAATTCTTACCTTGGTTTCCCGTCGAGTAGAGCACCGCGCGAGAGAAATGCCGACACTCCGTTCTCATACACGGCCTCGACTCGGAGAGTGTACACCGTCCAGCACTCGACGGAAGTCCACGACTCGGTGCGTCACGTTGGGAGGGACGCGAATCTGGATGTCGATGCGTTGCGGCCGTGACGAAGTGAATGACGTATGCCTTGATCGGGCTGATGAAGGTTCGCGGGGGATCCCAGTTGACGAAGGCTTTGACGGGCGTGTCCGAGATTCCGCTCTCGCACACGGTTTCGTTTACGGTAGCCATAACATTGTGAGGAGCGTGTTCTTCAGCTGCGTGCAGATAGTGACGTTCGCATAGGTGAAAAAGAATAAGTACACGTTATGCTGTGCACACAACGATTACTTAAATGTGCGGTAACAGAAACAATTAGGGCACATTTAGGCTTCGCCTTTAGACGTTGAACGCAGCAGCCGCGTCCTGTCCCTAACTTCAAACACTTAGTGATAGAAATCATTTCGAACTCGCTTTGCGCCCACTACGTGGCTTAGGTTACAGGTGCAGTAAGGTGTTCGCGTTTTGTAGTGGGCGCCTGGCTTTAAACAATAGATTCATTCTGATAATCGCATTTTCTTTCGCCCGATGGGGATGTACGCTTGTACCACACATTATTGCTGCAATAGTTCACGTTAGATTGTGGAGCGTGTGTACGGGACGCGCGTGTTATAAGGCGTGAAAGTTACTTTCACTGCATTTCCAAGACGAGGAAGTTATTTGCGCTGTATTGACAAGCAGACGCACGGCTTTGTAGTAGAACGTCCATATGCCACGCAAACGACAAAGGTTGTATCCCACTGGGACAGGGAACTTTCTATGATTTATTAAGATTTGCGTAATTTTCAATTTTAGGTCACGTTTAAGATGATTTCTCGCTCACAACCAACGACGCCGTCACCGATGCCAGAATTTCTGAAAAACGAGCTTTTTTTCAGTATTCCATTAATATTAGCGCAGCACGTGGCCTGCCTTTCACAATAAGTTCTAAATGTCAGCTAAGAACTTATTCTGTTCTCTCGATAAATGGCGCTACAAGCTCAACAAACTATGCAACATCTCCCCGAAGGTAACCCTGATAAGATGCGAAGCAGCAGCGGTGCGCACGGCGTTGACCTTGTTGAAACGGGCGTTGACGTGGGTGCCGGAAGAACAGTTTGAAGCGAAACTCGGTGTAGTGTCGCTGTTACCTGCGCGCCGTGTCTATTGTCGAACGCTAATGGCGTTCCTGACTGGCACCTCGTCAGTGTCGTTAGTCTTCTACTGCCAACGCTTGCGCTCGGCTTCCCTGGCTCGCGCCTCGTCGTTATTCCAGGCGCGACGTCACCATTCGCGAACGCGATCGGCTTTGCTAATCGCAACGCCACCGACGGCTCGGAAAGCTACGCGCAGACTAGCCGGAACCTTGCCCCGGCGGCGTCCCGCCTGTCAGCGTGATAGCGCGGCAAGCAGCAGCGCACTGTCCAAAATAGAGGAGGCACTGCGCAGGACCATGGCCGAGCTAGAGGGTGTGTTCCAATACTCACCGTACATGGCTAACTATACAGTTAAATGGATGGCGGTCATCTTAGGTTTCATTCCAATTCTCACGTAGCCGATCAAATAGACAGCTCCAAGAAGATGGCATCGCAGACAGATACGATGCAGGCTACTTTGCTCTCCAAACAAGGTGGTGGCTTAGCGCACTGCTCGGAAGCTCAAATATCGCCCGAATTGTGCCTGCAGTAAAGCGGATGCTTATCCGGACGCTCAATAGAATCACTGTTCAATTTTTCTAGGACTTGAACACAAAATAGGCTAAACAAATACCAGTTACGTTTGTTTATTTGAGCTTTTTTCTTCTTGACGCGAGGTAGCGCCTTGTCGCGTAGCAGCCGTCTTAGACATGTTCCATTTTTTGGACAGCATGGGCTCGGTGCTGTCTTCTTGACTGTCTGCGTAAACTGTTTACGCACTGTATAAGAATTAGAACGCAGCATCGCGTGCGAGCGCGCGCCTGTGCGCCTACCCGCGGCATCTTCTCGCCGACAGATAGAGGAGCTGGTGCAGGTGAGGATATAATGCCTACCTGAGGAGTGGGCTCGAGCATTGCGAGAAATGGAGAGGGTGAAGCGAGCCAGATGACATGCGGCGAGCGCAGTGACAGGCTAGAGAGAAAGTGACGTCACGCGCGTGCACCGTGAAGAAAGGCGTGGCCTAATTGGCACCACTTCCGTGCGCAGGGACAACTTTACACAGGCTAGTCAAAGGGCTGCTTCGCATCTAAAATCACAGCACGGCCATTCTATTCAGCCACTGGCTGATTTGAGCACGGCGTGCGCGGTTGTTCTTGGGGCTGCCGCAAGGTCGCGACATGTCCACACATGACACGTGATCGCACAAAAAGGCCGAGTAGTTGAAGAAAGAAAAGAAAAAAAAAGTGTCTAAGGTCACGAGGGGTGCGTGACGTATTTTCTTTCCCTGTGCTCTTCCTCACTGTTTAGCTTCCGGCGCTTTCGTCGGGCGAGAGAAGAGAGAATGCAAATACCGCGTGCGGCAAATCTTTCTAACTGCGGTCGTACTGGCGCGACTCTAAATATATTTGTGATGGCGAATTCGTAAGGCTATAGCTTCAATAATGAATCCATTCTATGGCTACCAAAAACTGTTGCAGCGCCCTTTTATATGTCACACACTCCCCTCAGTGCTCTCGGGTGGCTCAGTGGTTAACGCCTCGCTTTCGCACTCCCTTCGCATTGGATTAAGTGGACTTTTTGACGAAAGTTATCTGTTCTTTTTCCTCTCTTCCGCTTTTAGAGTGCGATTTGGTTTGTTGTGATTGAAATGTTGGTCATGATTATGGGCAGTGTGGCACATAAGCTATGCGTTGCATTCATTTGTATATTTCGGGAACGCGTATATGAACGAACCGCATAGATTTGTGACTGGATGATGGCGTTAACTGCCCAACTTTAGTTAGAGAAGCCGCGTTGTGGCGCACTAATGCGCCATGCTCTTTAGACTAACGAACCAAGATACAAAAGGACAAACCTACAAATGCAGATTAAAATAATCTAGCCAAGATACTGGGACATTATTAAGAATAAAGTTATGTTACGCGGCTTGCGTACCTCTCGTAGTAATGCTGTCAGAGCGGTCGCTTGCTGCAGTACCCCTGTATGCACGTTCTATTCAGTTGCAGTATGTTCTCTGACGTAGAGGCTGCTTGAGCCATATGATACCTTTGTCAAGTTTCAGTTTAGTGTCGGGCCACGTACACAGGAAGCACAACTCATATCTCTTACTGGAATGTCAAAGCTTCTGCGCATTTAGACAACGTGCTGTTAATACCCTTTATTCTGAAGTGTAAGTCCACGACGATTGCAGGTCTCAACTTCACTGCTAGGATAACCAATAAATGCGTAAAAGTTCCCCTAATTTATCTAAGAATGATGATACAGGCGTGTGCCCTCTCATCACAGTGATAGTAAAATAGATTGTCAACTTCTCAAAAGAATTCCAGTTCGTTTTTTTGTATGTAATTTCATATGAGTATTGTCCATGCTTTATGTACACGCTATTTTTTAGTGCGCACACATATTCTTGCTGGCAGCTTGACCTTATAGGCAGTATATAGGCACATGACATGAGTCACGTTAGTGGCTGATTTTACCACAGAAATAAAAAACGATGTGATCTTACCACTGCTCGCACCACACTGTAGAGGAGAGTTGTCCGAGAGGTATGATTTCATGAAAAGCAAAGTAGTGAAACAAAGCGCAAATGTGTCAGTAAACAGCCACCTTTTTGCACTTAAAAGAGCAATTATTAAGCAATTAACAGAGAACAAAAGAACAGACTGCATCAATTACAAGAGTTGGCTACAATTCAGCACAAACAACATTCCTGAGCTGACAGAATGACACGATGAACTTAACGTCACGTGGTACCACGTGACTTTTGGTCCTGCCGTCGTCAATGTGACGTCAACCTTAACGCGCGTCGAGGCATATATTGTTTTCACCTTGGTAGCGTATACCGTCGCTTGCAACCGAACGATGAATGCATGCTGCACACACAATTATCGCTATATAGCCTATGGATAGAAAATATGATAAGCGTGTTTGGAACTAACAGCAAATGACGTACAGTACTGGGAATGCCACTACGGGAGTGGCCTGAGCCTTGCCTTCAGCGCTCCAAGCAATCACGTATGCTCGTTTCAGTAACGTTCAACGTCTCTCGTGTTTCAGATAGCTGATGTTCCCTGCTGGACACATGTTCAACTTACCGGTTTTAAATCGAAGGCGTGAACGTCCTGTCATATTTCGCCATAGATTTTGAAATCACTTTTTTGTCCATCAGAATGTATGGGGTTTTGAACATCCAAAACCACTATACAGGGTGTTTGAAGAAATGTGTCCAATGTTCTTTATTAAATGACAGAAAGGAGGTATCTGCGTGCAACTCGCGGCGTTACGTTTCCTATGGCAGAGGGCATATCTTCAGATGCGTACCGAAAATAATTACGGCAGTGTTTACAGAGATTAACACAATTAACTTTTTAACCAGTGGTGATAGCACCGCCATCGTGGTCTAGTGGCTAAGGTACTCGGCTGCTGACCCGCAGGTCACGGGATCAAATCCCGGCTGTGGCGGCTGCATTTCCGATGGAGGCGGAAATGTTGTAGGCCCGTGTGCTCAAATTTGGGTGCACGTAAAAGAACCCCAAGTGGTCGAAATTTCTGGAGCCCTCCACTACGGCGTCTCCCATAATCAAATATTGGTTTTGGGACGTTAATCGCCACAAATCAATCAAATGAATCAACCAGTGGTGATAGCCGGTCGAGTCAAATGGGCGAATTTAAGCCCTTCCTAAAAATAGTCCATAACAACTTCAAAACATTGGAAAAGCGGCCACTGGTAATCATCGCCGCGGAGCGTTGCAATGAACCTAATTTAGCTGAAGAAAGCAAAACCAACGCACCAAACAGCGCATGTACCATTTACTTCGACAACGCGCTTAGTGACGACACATGAGACAAAGCACTGAAACTTATAATCCAGCTCTAAGGTCGGTGCACTCACGTGTAGTCTACAAAGTTAACAGACACAACACCATGTCAAAAACAAGACGCCTTCGCTCATTTCTCATTGTTGGTGCCTTATTTCTGCAACTATTCGGTTTGATAAGAAAGATAACAAACTCCATATCGAACGTTGAACCGATCGGACGTATTCTATTGTGCACTATCTCTCTCGGCCGGCGCTATTGTCGGTGTTACCCCTTCAATCCGACATCGCCTGTTCTCTTCAGTCCCCAAAACAAGATACAAGATTAGAAAGAATTCACACACTTCGCGGCTGATGTTTGTATTGTGGCGCCATTCGTAGAAAAAAAGTCATCGCACTATATTACATTATTAAGTAGCATACATGGCAGAGGAGTTATATATAATATATATATATATATATATATATATATATATCTATCTATATCTATATATATATATATTCGTACTTTGTTTAGTTATTGGTAATTCTGCCCTCTTCCTAAGTATAGAGGAAGAATATTCCATTCGACAATTGTCGAATGGAATATGTTATCAGCTGATTTATTTGGCCGCAAAACTGCGGATTCATTGTGTGAAGCACTGTGGCCCCCGCAACATTGCCTAAGATGGCGCTGTGGGTATTGTTCAAAATGAAAAAAGTAAACAAAATATCTAGACTGCTTAACATGACCGCGGTCATCAGCACACGTTAAAAATAAACAATGAACATGGTTCAACTTCGCCCTATATATACGTAAGTATTTCTCATGCTAATACTATACAATATTGTCAGAATGACGTTAATACTAGTGGCCTCTTGCTTGAGGGAACCAAAATGAGTGCAGTATATTAACCACGGTAACTAAGGTTCTACAGCTTAAGATCACTCAACACGCAACTCAATCCCATTGATAAAGAAGGGTCCACTTCTTTGATATAAGTCCCAATATGAAGCATGCCAGCTGTTTTGTTGGCTTATTACGGAGCACTGCCACCACACGCATGAACGTTTTGAAAGCACCGCTCATCGGTTCAACTACCAGTTTGCCATACATTGCGAGTGTGACGTCATGTGTCGTATGATGTAGAGACGTCCCCTTCTGACGATGTTTAAGCCGTTGCGATGATTGATTGATTGATTGATTGATTTGTGGGGTTTAACGTCCCAAAACCAACATATGGTTATGAGAGACGCCGTAGTGGAGGGCTCCGGAAATTTTGACCACCTGGGGTTCTTTAACGTGCACCCAAATCTGAGCAATGGGCTTAAGCCATTGCGAATCATTCAGTTTCAATTCTCAGCTGATCAAACTTATCGTAGATGACATGCACGCGCAGCTTAGCATGGAACGAAGTGGTTCACCAAAATTCAGACGCCCACACAGCAAGCCGCTTCTTATGTCACGACTCGCGAGTACGGCAGCTTTACCCGACTCTCAAGATGCTTGCATTTTTTGTGCGAATATTCGATTATGAACAAGGTGTTGAACCAACTTTGCTAGAATTTCGCCTGATTGTTTGTGAGTGCACAACGATTAATCAACATAACAATAATTAGAATTGAAAATTGTGTGGCATGGCTCCTTCAAGGGAGAGGAAAGTGGAGCATGTGTTCAGGGAATAAATTGTGTTGAATGTTTTAAATGAGCCATTGCTATTCGCAAGAGCTTAAAAGTGCGAGTGAAAGTGAGGAGGGCTATTCAAGCTTATCATTTTAAGGGGGCTAAAAAATGCTTGTTTCCTAATTACAAAAGATTTATATTAGCGAAATGCTGGAGTGTAACTTATGCCGTATGAAATAATTACGCCAAGAAAAAAAGACTATCATCTTTAAGAATTTCACAGCATAACCACGGAGTAACTGATGATGAGTGGGGCGAAGCATTCATCCATCTATCCGTGAGTCTGTCCGTGCGTCTCTCCGTCCATCCGTGGGTCCGTGCGTCCGTACTTCCATCTGTCTGTCTGCTTGTCTGTCTGTCAACTGTACAAAATCATCAACTATACGAAAACCACTATCGCCTTCTAGTGATATGATTTCCAAGGATTGGATTGGATTGAAATAGATAATGGCTGTACCCTTTAGATCGGGCGGTGGCTAACGCCACCAATCCATAATAAATAGGGAACCAAAAGCTTGATTTATTTTTTCTCTTTAAATAGTGAAGTTGAGGACTCGTAGTTTGCAATGAATTGTTTATTTTCACTCGTGCCTGGACTTTAGCCACCAATCAGACAACCTCCTCCTAGTTAATTCTACACGCGCTTAAAGTCTAATTTTCCCTCCGTGTCCCTAAACCCCAGAACTTTGAAGAACTCTGCGCCATCATCCTGAGCTATAGGGTGAAGCCATTTACAGAACATTATCAAGTATTCGGCAATTTCCTCTTCCTCTCCACACGCACTGCATACCGTGTCTGCCCTTTCGTATTTGGCCCGATATGTCTTGGTTCGTAATACTGCCGTCCTGGCCTCAAACAGTAGAGAACTACCCCGAGTATTATCATAGATTCTTTCCTTGGCAATTTCCTGCTTAAAAGTTCGATAGATCTCTAGTGCGGACTTCTTAATCATGCCGATTCTCCCCATATTGGTCTCAGCTTCTTTCATCTTTTTCTTAACCGATAATTCTTTTTGATTTGGCCCCCTCCTGCTTTCTCAGTATTTACCAGTCAATCTTCTGGTTCGCTTCCTCCATTTTGTATTGACATTCTTTATGTACAAGTAGCTGAATACCTTCCTAGCCCAACGCTCCTCCCACATTTTTCTCAATCGCTTCTGAAATTTTATCTTGCTGCTAGCTTCCCTGCCCTCAAATGATGTCCATCCCATATCACCTTGTACTCCCTGATTTGGTGTATTCCCATGAGCTCCTAAGGCAAGCCTACCTATTCCACGTTGCCTAATTTCTAATTTTGCTCGAACTTCTGATCTCATGCACAAGACCGCGCTTCCGAACGTCAGGCCAGGAACTCTGAACCCTTTCCGTATTCCTCTCACAACATCATACCTATTGTAATTTCACAGTGCCCTATTTTTCATCACCGCTGCATTCCTGTTACCAAGGGCATATACACACAACGTCATCTATTGCATGATAAGGAAGATGCTACTGGGTGCTCCGGAGGGGCGATGTATGGTCCTAGTCCATAAGAAGCTTCACCATTAAAAAGAAAAAAAAAAGTCATTGCATATCCACGGAGTGCATGATGATGAGTGGGGTGGAGCATCCGTCAGTCCTTCCGCGCTACCGTCCATCCGTTCGTTCTTGCCTCCGTCCATCCATTCATCCGTTTGTGAGACCGTCCGTGCGTCCGTTCGTGCATCTATTAGTGCGTCCGTCCATGCGTCCGTCCGTTCGTGCGTTCGTTCGTCCGTCCATTCATTCATAGGTCCGTCCCTCTATGCATCTGTCTGTCTCTCCGTCCATGCGTCTGTCCATCTGTCCGTCCATCTAGTGAACACTCCAAGTACTACCATCTCGCATCCTTTCGTCATATATTCATCATATAGAAGTACCGCCATCCAGCGGACAATCCATGGACTAAACGAGAGAGGGCATTATCGGACTAGGAAGTCGCACGCTCGCACTTTCTTACGGCCTGCCCTTCGTGTCTCATTCCCACCTTCTACCGCCTTTAATAGATGGCACTGCGGCCCAACCCTCGCTAAACCTTGCTGAAGCCAAGAAGGTTAAGCCCGGCGAGTTTAACGTGGCAACCTTCTCTGGTCAGAGACTGCTCAAAGTACGTCCTTCGTATGCTGGTTTTTTTGTAAACATCAAATTCAAGGCAAATTTCATTAAAGATTAAGTCCCCAATACTCGTCTTTGTAAGTTGCTTCATCAGAAACAACTATCTATTTATTTATGATTAACTTCCACGAGTTTTTCCTTTATTCGAAGAAATGCACGCGTGCCGCTCCTCGAGTCCGGCCGTGGAGGTGGGTACCTACTACTAAGACGACGCTCAACTACCACATACATCGTAGACGCACGACCGACAGCTTAAGGAGCTTCGTTCCTAAAACGCTCACAGTGTCTTCTCCGCAAAAGTCAAGCGAGCGTTTGCCCGCCATTAATTTTGCAAACTGCGCTTTGTTGGGGGTGCTTCTTAAGTGGTCTACTTGTTTTTCTCCGTTAACGTAAGAGCCAGCTTAGCTTTCAAATAACAGATCCTTGATCCCAATGAAAGCGATTGGTTGAAAAGAACATGGCTGACTTCATCTCTAATAAGGTTCGCCGAGAGCTTTCAGAAACTAACAACAACTTTATGGTACACGTTCAGTGATATCATTACTCAACTTTTCTTTCTTTTTTGAACAATTAGCGTAGTGTAACATCTGGTAGGCTCACTGGTCTCCCATAATACGAAGTACTCGAAATCGTTCAACTTTTTCTAAACACACACATTTTTCTCCACAAGGCTTCACAATCTGAAAAGCCCACGAAGTAGCTTTTTGAGCTCTCTCATACATAGCAGAGTACCAAGTGCCCTAAACTGTTGAACACTTTTTAAACACGCTGCATACTTCTTCATTGGTTCTTCAAACTAAAGCAGGCTATTCTTTTTTTTTGTAGTAGAGACAAGTAAAAAAAATATGGGAGAAGACAGCCTATGGCACGAGACTTTTACAGGTTTCTTTTACCACACGTCATTCATATTTGTTTTGCTTGTAGCGCACCCATGTACACACCGTCACACACACCCACACACATTAACGCATAAATAAATATATATAGGAAATGTGCGGGAAATAAACTATAGCTGAATGTCTGGCGCAATTTCCTGTCGTCCCTTCTATTATTGAACTTGTCTCAGTTTCGCCACAAATATTTCGTGTCACGTTTGCCGTATAATATTCTTAGGGCGTGGGAGGTAATCTACCCCTCCATTCAGTTTTCTTTGCCGAGTGTAATTCGCCCCTGCTAAGATGGTGATGCCGGGGCTGCCATATCGTATTGTGGGCAGCTTTACTCGCGCGGTGTAATTTCTGCTCTAGCAATTCTTTATAAACCTTGTAGATTGGGTTCTAGGACATTCATAGTTGGTGCTTAAGCACTGTTAAATGCGAGCGTTACAAGCCAACCACTCTCCATGCTGCACTTTTACCTCAGCACAAATGACAGTTCTTTCACTCAGTAAACGATAGACTACACAGGTTCATTGGGGAGAATGACAGAAAACAAAGGTACGATGTACTGTGCAGTGCTGGCCCATTGCACTGTAGGTCCTCGCAGAGTTTTTCCAGTTAACTACGAGCCATGTTGGCAAAGTCGAAAGAATTTGTTTTCCTTTAGTACCAGTTGTCAAATAACAGAGCTTCCCCTCAAAAACATTTCAGAAAAGCCGTCCGAGAAAAATTTTTGGGGAAAAAGTTATACCATGGCTACTGGAATACTAACCTGAAAGGTAGCTGAAGAGATAAGGATGGTCAAAAGAACCAATGCCGTGATGCCGCCTTTCATGGTGATCCTTCTGCGTTTCACTTTTCTATACAAAAGACGTTGCGCCAGTACACAAGGCGAACTTTCGAGGATACTGATAGCAAGCCCACCGAGACCCTTTTATTATGGAGTCGCCATTATTTAGAGGACGCCCACTAATGCCCGATAAGGAGAAGACGCGAGTGACTCGAGGCGTTACCTGCTTCGATAGACGAGATTTATTTTCTTTTGTGTTTTTTCTGAGCAGCTACGATAGGCTGCTATCTTTGTAGCTAGGAAAACAATACCTCTCGAAGCTCGCTCTCAGACTCATTGCAAAAGGCTGTAGACGTGAGATATTTTAGATAAGAAGGGCTGAACTTGGTGAAACAATGCACTGTTTAGTCACCACTGTAATTTTCATTTTGCAGAGAACTTTATGTTGACACTTTTCACGCACGATAACAGCAAATGCATAAAAGTAGCTAGCATGTGCGCTCGCAAAGCTACGTATTTCGAAAGAGTTGAGGTTAACTTGTTCTTTCCACTCAAAATAACCAGTTGCTTCAACATATTACAATTTGGGGACCCTCAGAGCTCATCACGGTAGTGATATTTGTTCCAAGTGCGTACTTCAAAGATTCAGTGTATAAAGTCTACGTGATTTTGAGGGTGCAGTAGCCCCGCCATGGTGGTGTAGTGGCTAAGGTACTCGGCTGCTGTCCCGCAGGTCGCGGGATCGAATCCCGGCTGTGGCGGCTGCGTTTCTGATGGAGGCGCAAATGTTGTAGGCCCGTGTACTCAGATTTGGGTGCGCGTTAAAGAACCCCAGAAGGTCGAAATTTCCGGAGTCCTCCACTACGGCGTCTCTCATAATCGTATGGTGGTTTTGCGACGTTAAACCCCACAGATCATTTAAGGGTGCAGTAGCGTGTGTGCTCTTTTGTAGCACTTGAGTGATTTTCAACTATGAAGCCATTATGGTAAACTCATGTTCTGACGCCCGATGGCAATGTATGCTTGTACTACACATATTTACGGCTATATTTTATGTTGTATTTGAAGCATTGTATACAGGACGCGTGTGTGTTTAAAGCATGAAAGTTACTTCCACTGCATTTCTAAGCAGAAAAATTTAATTTCACTGTATTCGCAAGCAGAGGCGTGCCTCTGGGGTACAACACCCGCTTGGCAGGCAAAAGGCTTGAGCTGAAGCCCCACTCAGGCCTGGATTTTTTTTGTTTATCTTTCTCTATTTCTCAACGCAAAGATGATGAGTTTTCGCTCACAACCAACGACACCGACACCGACGCCGACACCAGAATTTCTGCGGAGTCGGCTCATTAATGCTATAGCCTCAAAAGGCCTACTGCACTTACAATGCATTTATTTGCACAAGCAAAATTTGTGTGCTTAAAAACGTTTCCTACAATTTTGCAGTAATAAGTACTCTATCATGGCAGAGCTCGCAGCTGTCTGGAGCCCAGTGCGTTTAGCATAAATAGTGAATGCTTTAAAGCACAATGCACACTCTACTGTTTGAGAGCCATAAGCTGTCCTGATGTACACTCCTAGGACGAAATTGACAAACACCAGAATAAGCATTTTTTTAGAAAAAAATTTATAAAAGTTTGGCGCTAGGTGAGTGCACTGAAATACCGCCTTCGAAGGAGCCCCAGTCATTGGCGTATTCGTTTGCACTGTTTTCAATTATTGATTTTCAATTCGAGTGCGCTTGTTGCTAATCAGCAACTTCTTGTATCCGGAGGCCGAATCTTTCATTGAGGTCGCTTGCCATTTCATGCTGCCACACTTTATTGCTACCTCGATATTGTCGCGTGGCGGCAGTGGTTGCTTGTAGCAACTGAAGTGTACAGCTGTTAAGCCAATGTGCAATCGTCCAATGAAAGTTCAATCCGGGATATTGCATTTGTCTGGGATATTGCATGACTTAGTCCAGCTTCACTGCACTGGACTAAGTCAACTTTTACTTACTTGAATTAAAGCCTACCTAAATGACAAGAAGCAATTCGTGAAAATTGATAACTCTATGTCTAGCTCACTAGACGTGTTTTCTGGGGTTCCACAAGGCTCGGTTCTTGGGCCCTTATTGTTTCTGATATATGTCAATGATATCGCACATATCGCAAAACCCCATGTTAAGCTAAAACTGTTTGCTGATGATTGATTAATTTACGCGCGAGTGACTGGTAGGAAGGACCAATTGAACATTGCCCAATGTGTAAAGGAACTACACTCATGGTGTGAAGCTTCGGGAATGAAATCAATTATTCGAAATCTACCGTCACCTCACGTTTGCTAGGAAAAAAACGTTAATTCCATTTGGATACCGTATCGGGAATCACACCTTGTTGACAGTTAATGCGTCTAAGTACCTAGGTCTCACAATAACGCATAACCTAAGGTGGCACACACATATAGATTATGTTTGTTCTAGGGCCTCACAAAAATTGTACATATTAGGAAAAAAACTGCAGGGTGCTAGTATGGACACAAAACTTCTTGCTTTTAAAACTTTCATACGGCCGATACTGGAATATGCCAGTATTGTCTGGAGTCCCCACCAAAAAGTGTTTGTACATAAACTTGAACGCATACAACGGCTTGCAGCTCACTTTCTTTGCTCGAGATATAAGCAGAACGACTCAGTCACAGAAATGCTACAGCTATGTGATCTGGAGATGCTGCACATGTGCAGACGCAAAAATAGATTAAAGTTTCTTTTTCAATTATTGAACGCTGAGTTTAAAATTAACAGAAATGACTACACAGAACAACCTGGGAAACGAAGCGAGAGGGCAAACCATACACGAGTACTGCACCCTTATTTTGCACGAACGAAGGCATACCGTCATACTTTTTCCCGGATGTCATTGAAGATTGGAATGGGTTACCGAGTAACATAGTCAATGGGGGTGATGTTAATGAATTTGTGCATTTACTCGATTTACATTTATGGGATTTATTGTAAATATTATTGCGATTGTTATTTGTTGCATTGCGTATCAGGGTGTGTGTTTTTCGTTTGAAATGAAGAGCTTTCACAGATTTGTATATATGTATACCTGGTTTATCATTTGGAGATCTATGGTTATATCCCCAATTTGTTTGTACAGTGCGTCGTACCTTTCCTGTAATGGCCCTCAATAGAGGGTTGACAGTATTTCTAAATAATAATAATAATATTAAGAAAGGGAAGGAAGTTATAAAAAAGCACGACTTAGTGCGACAGGAAGATAAACGAAACAAAGACTCAAATAAACAAATGAAGACTGAAATAGAGAAAGAATGTAATAAACAAAGAAGGAAATACAACTTCACAGAAAGAATGAGGGAAACAAGTTTATTGGGTCCACAATAAACGCGAGAAAACTCAACGTCCCCTGGCTAGGCCCATTCAGGGGTGGTCAGGTTAGATTTTACCGCCCTCGCGCAGGCTCTCAGGACAGCTAGTATTTGATCGAGAAGTCAGTTCTTGGGCCAATGTAAGCGTTTTCATTTCTTCCTGCTGGAAATAGGGCGTGCACAGAGGCGCAGCCTCAAAGGAAATGCTCGAAGTCCACGGAACCACCTCACTGAAGCACTGCTTACTTGTGAACTGTTCGGGGTGTAATGTGGCCAGTGCCGAAGGACACAAAGAAACGTGATAGGCCATGCACACACTCCGCACTTTTCCCTTTCCACCGCTGTGCCGGTAAGAGAACGAATTCTGAATTTTTGTTGTTGAGCGCTTTGGATAAACTTTTCCAGTTGGCAGACCTGCATTTTTAATACTTGAACATGCTCGTTTTATTTCGCCGGGTCAAGTATATGTGATGTAATCTCGTCACAGAATGAGCTCATTATATTTCCTCTTTAGTTCACGTGTCGACAAAATTGTACTCAGATTGTTCACTGATTTTCTTATTGTATTACTATTAGCCGTTTGTACAGATATGCGACGTGTATGACTTGCTACATACTCTTCTCACTATTTCAACTCTATCTTTAAAGACGTAAAGACGTATTTCATTATGTGTACCATACATTGTATTTATTGATGTGACACCACATGCAAGATGCTGTATCCGTTTGCGTATATTTTTATCGATTTTCTTTAACATCCCAGCCTTTAGTCCGCTGCGGCGGAGCAGTGATTAAGGTGCTTTGCTGCTCACCCGCAGGTCTCGGGTTCGATGCAGGCCACTTAGTCACAGTTCGATGTAGGTCCACTTGCTGTGCGTGGTCAGCGGACAGTAAAGAACACGAGATGGTCGAAATCTCCGGTGCTCTCCAATACGGGGTCTCACAGTCATATCAAGGATTTCTGACGCGAAACTTTAGATAATATTTAAAGTTTCTCCCGGCCTTTCCTCTTTCTAATGTTTTGTTTGTATATTCCTTAAGACTGCCCTACTTGAAACTACAATTCATCTATCAATGTCACGCAAAAGTTCCTGAAGAGAATGGTTTTTTTTTGCTTTAGTTTAGCACGTTATCATTTACGGAAATATTAGCTCTGTCGTATATCTAAATTATTAAAAATATGTATAAGCGCATAACAAACTTCAAGTCGTTGCACTACGTGCGAACAATAAAACAACTGTTCGGCTTGTTTTATTCCCATTACATTAGGTTCTTTCACTGTCACTTCACTGCACCTTATAATCTTTTTTCATGAAAAGGAATGCTTACTTTTCCAAAACATAATTATCAACCTCCCTTCCTCAACCACTCAACTTTCGAATTTTCCAGAAAAAAAAAGGTAATTCCTTTTTTTTCCCTTCTTGAGCAGTTTTAAAGGATAAACATCGTTTTCGAGTTCTCTGAAGTGTTCTGAGCGAAAATAGCGACGTATAACTCTGTGCGTGAACGCATTTTTTTCACTCAGTTGTTCTGCTAATACAATTAAAAGATCACCTAAAGGAAATTTTTGTTCATTTGAAATTTGTGTTAAAACGTGATGCAAGCACCAGACGGAGTGTTTTGGGCGATATTTTCGCAGCACTTAGCGTGAGCTGAACGACCTCCACCCTTGAATTCTCCGAGTCGAAGCAGATTAGTTTTAACGTTTTGCGCTTTCTTTCCTGCCAATCATAAATTCTGCAATTTCAAGTGGGTGGGAACAACGCGTGGAAGTAAAACTGAAAGTTTTAGATAGCCCAAAATATTTTTATCTGCAGCAGGCGTGAAATCACAGAAATTTCAAATGGTTTAAATTTCATTCTCAGCTACGTCCGAGTTTGCGTTATGGCCAGTGTTATGTAGCTGACGTACATGAGTAACTCCTACGCCTGTATGCTTTCCGCTTTGAAGCGGTTACAAACATTGACGTGAATTAAGCTTAGCGCAGTGAAATGCAAATTTTAATATCTGTTTCAAACCTGTGCCTTTTTTTATAAATCTTTGCATTCTGGCATTGTGAGAAATAGTACACCTCGTAACACGTCCGTATACATAGTTTTAGGCCAAAAGGTATCCTATAACAACTCAAAATTAGTAAATTTCTGCAATAATAAGTTGGAATATACTCTGCGTTCCATCTTTGAAATTATACAAACACCGTCAAGTTTTTTTCTGCTTTCTGTTTATTTTTATTGAGCTGCTCGAAATTTGGTCATGCTGCTTACATGAACGAACTGCTGGAGATTGATTGATTGATATGTGGGGTTTAACGTCCCAAAACCACTATATGATTATGAGAGACGCCGTAGTGGAGGGCTCCGGAAATTTAGACCACCTGGGGTTCTTTAACGTGCACCCAAATCTGAGCACACGGGCCTACAACATTTCCGCCTCCATCGGAAATGCAGCCGCCGCAGCCGGGATACGAACCCGCGCCCTGCGGGTCAGCAGCCGAGTACCTTAGCCACTAGACCACCACGGCGGGGCGAACTGCTGGAGACGTTCTGTGCGTTAGGTGGTATTGTGTTGTTTTATTACCTGAGCTCTGCAAGTGCGTGTGGTTGTAGGCCTAATCATGTTCGTTATAATGAGCTCTTTACAATACGGCTGAAAGCTACTCAGCTTTGTGAGTGGTTCATGAAGTCTTCACCGCTAATTGGGTACGGTTCAAACTGTGACCGCGAAGCCACGCTATACTAGCATAATGATGTCATACATTAATTTAGATAATGAGGATGCCTTCAATATTACGACATCTAAAGATAACGTGTTTCGGGAATGTGAGGTAAATGAAGAGTATCATCTTAGGAGCATGCGAGGTAGACTTGCAACAACTATACGACACCTTCCAATGATCTCGGATTGAATCCCGGCCATGTCACATTTCGATGGCATATGAAATCTACACCACGTACACTTGGCGACAGTAGACTTTTAATACTATTTGGTCAATATTTTCCAAATTTATACTATGACATAGCTTATAATCATATCGTGGTTGTGGCACGCTTAACTCATAACATTAAGAAGTGCAAGAACGTGGCAAGAATGAACTAGTCAAGCTTACAAGTTTGTATAACCACACACCCATCCTCCTTTCTTTTTTTGCATTCGGATTTGATTCGCGAAAACTGTTGGCATCACTCGGCGAAAGTCAAACGGCAATGAGCCGCAATGAGCCGCAATGAGCCGCAATGAGCCGCAAGCTTCAAGATTGTTCGGTTGAGATTACTCGAGAATGCGTCCCGCCATGTTTATTCGGTAGCTTACGCGCGAAACACCAGTGTTCACGCTTGAAGGTTAGATCCTTGATGTATAATTGACGAGGTTTTCTGCCGACAATCATATGGCTCTACAGACTATACGATTGTGTCCAGAGTCAATAGTGCACAACGTGAATGCTTATGCGGTTAATGGTCATCAACTCAAAGCAAAGCGATTCGAACAGTTAATCCAATCTGACGCTCCGGTTCTGGCACAACCTGTGTATTTCTATGTATAGAAGAGGACTCCCGATAATTAAAACACGTTGGTGTCCCCAAGGAATGTTTTCGCCGCTTCCCGCCCAATTTGTTCCCAATGCGTTGTAAAACCGAACAAATCCGAATTCAGACGCTGTACTCAAGCTCCTAAGCAAGCTGCAAACAGTTCTGCCTATAGGCTGGTTAACATCCCTGTCGTTCTTTTCCTCTTATTTTCCTCATACATGCTCATGAAGTATACCGACTGAGTAAAAGCAAGCAAATGTAAATTATTTATTCCTTTAAACGTTCGTTAGAGATACTGTGCCGTCTAAGTAAACGAGTTTTGGAACTTAATTAGTGTCACATATTTCGTCATTAAGGCTCACTGCTTGTGTACATGCATGTGGGTGGTCGCTTTCGGCGTAAGTATTTGTGGCGTAATGATCAGGGTTCCTTACATATGCCCCAACAATGGAGCACGTTTAGTGTTGTTTCTGTCCAACTTGGTATGGTGATACAATTTTGTATACAACACGGGGTGATACAAGTACATGCCCTATCCGAATTTATGTGGTAATAAACTTGTTTTATGCCCCGCAAAAAGACCGCAGTATTTGTTCCGAAACACAAGACACGAGAATTACATGCCATATGTGGTGCCAAAAATCAGAAACCCGAAGGCTCAGGAAGGTTAAATTGAGGATGACGCTGTGAAAGGAAAATGTCAGGTGTGTCTTGTGGGGATAATAAGAAAGCAGAATTGTTCGGGACGCAAACGGGTGCTAATGACATTATTAGTCTAAATCGAGAAGATGAAACTGGCTGAACATCAATCGTGTAGGGAAGATAACTACTAGTCTTTAAGAGAAATGATGAGATGCAACATGGTCACTTACCAAGACTGATGATGATCTTACGTTTAGGAAACGCATACGAAGTCCTTGTTCACTGAGCTGACTAGATGTTGTTGTCGATTAGCAACAGCTTCTACAGTATGCGGTTTCTCTGTATACGGGAGACGTCACATCGCCATCAGAGTTGGTGAGCGACCGTGTTTTATCTCATTTGATGCCCAACCAAAAAAAAAACATTCATTGAGCTCTTGACTATAAGAATAATAGGCTGGATTTCTAGTGAAGGCGGACGCATGGTGGAGAGGCAGAGAATTAGGCATGCCGAGGGGATGAAAGAGTTCGCGGTGACATGGCCGAAGCAAAGACGGAATTGGGTTGATTAGCGAACCATCAGAGTCATTTCCCCGTGCCCCGCCACGGTGGTCTAGTGGCTAAGGTACTCGGCTACTGACCCGCAGGTCGCGGGATCAAATCCCGGCTGTGGCGGCTGCATTTCCGATGGAGGCGGAAATGTTGTAGGCCCGTGTGCTCATATTTGGGTGCACGTTAAAGAACCCCAGGTGGTCAAAATTTCCGGAGCCCTCCAATACGGCGTCTCTCATAATCAAATAGTGGTTTTGGGACGTTAAACCCCACAAATCAATCAATCAATAAATCAATCAATCAGAGTCATTTCCCCGTGGCGGGTGCAGACAGGTTGATGGTTCATTGTGTTGCAATTTTCAGCAGAGTACTAATAAAGTACTATATAGTATTTTGTTCTTAGAAAACGTAGTAATTAAAAGTGCCATTTAAAATATCTTTTGTAAAACTTTATTTGGCGGGTAACAAATAATACTACACAAAATATTCACAAAATTTTATATCTCGACATATGTCTTCACACCGAGGCTGAAGTGCGCTCTCTCAGGTAAGCTTTCCTAGTGGCGATGACGATGACGATGCGTCGATGAGAAGCCAGCATTCATCCTCAACATGTCTTCATTAACGGAAGCAGCAGTGTCGCCAACATCAAAAGGGCGCTAATGCCGTTTGAAGAACCCGAGTTGCAGCCACCTGAGAACCGAAAAAAAAAAAGAAATTGAATGTTTTAATAGAACGGGCACTTCATCGTGCAACAACAGTGTCACTCTTGCTTACTACCTACAGTCCCATATTTCCAATTTGAGGCAGATATATTCTACTTTCGTGAGTTCAAATGCATCAGACATGCAATTACGTATATGGTCCGCCTCGGCGGTACACTTATTAGCTGTGATAGCGACACAAAGATCAAAGGTTTGATCACGATTGCACTTTGGTTGAGGTCAAACGCTAGCGATCCTCGTACTTCGCATAGCCAGTTTAAAGAAGATGGCAAGGCCCAAATTTCTACATCTCTCCACTACTGCAAGCATCACAATCATATCGTAGTTTTGCCATGCTTAAAATTTCGAAATAGTGTTACAATTGAACATACGACAATGAATTTTGAAGGCATTAGATTTTCAGCCTTTGCCTGAGTCATGATGTCGGCACCACTTGCGTAGCGAGTAGGCGTGACTTCAAGGCGGATCAGACATATTTAAGTTAAATTTTGTTGGACTATATACGCCCCCTCTTTCCCTGTATATCAGGAGCTTTTTTTCAAAATGGGCTAAATACAGAGATAAAACTATGGCTACAATATAGTTTTATTAGCCATAATTGCTCTCAGCGTTTTTCTAAAACAATAATAATAAATTAATATTGTTATTATTTAGAATTTGTTATTATTCTTTCAGAGAAAATATAGGAGTAAATATGTGACAAAGAAGCTTAATTTGAACAAGTTTTGGTTCCGTGATTCACCTATTTCCAAAAAAAAAAAGGAGCTCCACATATATCTCTCCTCTTACTTGAATGACTATCGCAAATGATGTGGCCCGTTCGTACGCTTTTCTTCTTGTCACACTTGTAAATTTTTGTAACAAAATGTCCCTGATAATGTACTCGAAACAGGTTTGTGGCTACACCCCTCTATAGCGCTTCTATTTCCTGCAGCAAATACTATCACATATTATTTGTCCAAAAATAATAATTTTCCCACCAGCAAATATAGCAATATATACTACATAACTGAAGTAATATTTCAGTATTTCTAGGATGAGTGTGGGCTACTTCGATCTTGTGTGTAGGCAGGCACCCGGAGCGTAATATAGGGTTTACCTGTTTCACATGGAACGAAGATGCATATAGCGTACTCAAGTTCGAAACTAAAGCATGGACTAATAATGACGGCGTTCAATTATTATTATTATTATTATTATTATTATTATTATTATTATTATTATTATTATTATTATTATTATTATTATTATTATTATTATTATTATTGATAAAAAGAACAACAAGAACTTTGATAATAATATTACCAATAATAATCATAATATAAAATATAGATAATCAAACCTGTGGCAGGTCTTTTCACACTAACCGAAGACTCTTCGGAGTAGCAAGAAATGCACCCGAGTGGCGCGCTTAACCTAGCGCGCACTTCGTACGCGGCATCGTCATCGGCAACATCGATTTTGCACTTCATCGAGTCACCGTTGGCCGTGTAAAGTGCGCAGTTCTTCTTAGACGAAGAGATTACGCAGATAATGACGTGAATCATTGCGTTGCGCGCCGTACTCCATGTCACAATAAGTGACGTGTCGCTGATGAAAGTCGCTCGGAGGCCATCAACCGTAGGATCCGTTAAAAATAAAGACCCATACCTAAATCACTGAAGCACTTCACATATAGCTCACGTTTCTATCGTTCGTTATCAGCAGTTTTCATTGCCTAATTTGATACCATGGGAATTTGACATTACCTTTCGATAGTATTGAAAGTTGAGCTAGTTGGAAGAGCTGCATTTTTAGGTACAGTGCGAGACCGACAAAGACAGGAGAGTACAGAAGAAAGACAGACGAGCGCGGTGTTTTCAGCCCATGTGCCGTCAGGTGATACGCCGTGTAACTTGTTTTATTCAATTTGACCGTTTTCTGCACAGTGTTCATATGATTACTTTTTTGTCGTTTTTATTGCTTTCACGTTATTGTGTTCTTCAAATAAAACTTTTCGATTGTGAGTCAGCGACCTTCTGTGTCCTTTCTGTACTCCTTTGTTTTCGTTCGTCTCACACTCTAACCAAAAATACATATTTTTGACCATAGGGTTCGTATGAGCGCAGGCCTTCGGATTCGCTTCGCAGAAATTCCAGTCCGAAGCCACCGAGTGGTTTTCAATGTACTCGTCTCAGATTCGTAAACGGCTCACTGTACCAGGTGGTGTAGCAAAAATTTTTAAAACTTACGAATGTCGCAGGTCGTCACATTCACCTCGGCGTATCTTGCGTACGCTGCTTCGCCGTCCATTTTGGCCACCCTTATATTGTACTCCTTTCCGGGCACGAGGTTTCTAAGAGTCACCGAGGTGTCACGCGTGAAGGTGATCACTGGTGGTGCGTGTGTGGCTAGAGCGGTCACTTTGTATTTTGCTATGCTGTCGGCCGAAGTGGTCCACTTCACTTTGACGGAGGAGTTGTCCAGAACTCTCGCAGTCAAACTTTCGATCACTGGAACTGAGCGAAGTGAAAAGCAGAAATGCAGTAAAACTGTGTTTTTAAGCAGTATGCGAGAATTTTCCAGATATTACAGTCACTTGTATGTTTGGGCAAGCCGCTTCATCTTGCAAGCAACTTAAACCGCACGAAAAAAGAAAACGAATAATGACAATAAAGCGAACACACACCACACTATTCTGATGGGTGCGGTATGTCAGAGGGCCGTGCATTTCAATTTAGGTGCACTTAAAAAAAAGCCTACATGGTCAAAACCCACCTTTTTCTGGTGCTTTGGTCGATGCCATTCTTCAGAATCATGTTATGGTTTTGCAACGCAAAACCCTCAGTAGTTAGCAATTTCGATAACATTGCATGCAAGACACTAGTAGTATTTTTTTTTCCAGATCTAGCTCGAGCATCGGCGATTACACTCAACTAATCCACCATTCTTGTACAAAAACGCGTACGCTTTCCGTTGACAATCCCGCAGCGCTACGTACAACCAAGCATCGCAAAGGATACGTAGAACGCACCAACAGAGTCATCTATCGCATTCTCCGTTCATGCATGGGATGCTATGTGTACCAAGCAGGAACTTGTCGGCACGACCACCCTTTGAACACGACAAAAATAGGCGCAATGCTAGAGAAGTTCTTTTTTTGGAGGGGGAGGGGCATTCGTTGCCGTTCTTGCGGATACACCCCCCTGCTTGAAGAAACTATAATTATCGGCAGACATCAAAACTAGCAAACTCGCGAAATTATCGAAGCCGCCCATACTGCCCATGGAGGTTCATTATGCGTCAGCTTGGTATATGTGTTCATCATCGGAGGAAGTTTCTTTCTTGGAACAGTGCATGTAAATATTCCTCGAAATAAATCTTGTCGTAGTTTATACTTTCTTCCCATGTTTTTCAATATATGCTTTTCTTTCGTGCTAAACAAAGATTCAGTTGCTACCCAGCGTTTCTCCGTTTCATCTTGTGTGTCCCTGTGTAGAATATCAGACTGTTCGTACCTAATTACCAAATGAAGGGCTGACTGAGACAATACAATGACTGCGCTTCATCGTCATCGTAAATTTGCCAGGCCACTGCTGCTACACGCCGCATTTTACCCAAAGAGAATGCTTGTTAATTTTTTTCAAAGCCCGTATATTCCGAGTTCCTACACATGAAGGCAAGGCTATAAAGCAGCAAGGCGACGCCATTCTACCTGACAAAATCACTTTCCTTTATATGAAATGTATACTTTCCTATTCAAGAATTTGCTTTGTGCATAGTAGTTTACAATTTGCATTTTAACTGAGGACTTCAAATTACAGTCAATTGAGCCATAACTAATGCAAATACTGGGAACTAGATTCAGGTAATTAAAAAACAGTCGCTTGCTCCCACTTGACTTATTCTACTTGATATTGGCTCCAATTTACTCGGAATGTCTCTCAGTTACATACGGTTTATTTTTAATGATTTAGGTTGCTTTAAATATTGTTGGGTGTCTCGTACAATTTTATCGACATTTTGGGGTCGCTCATGTTCTATACGTCGATGAGAGCTTTTTATATTTGCGGAGGCAGTGAAGGTTTCTACTTCGAAGGAACTGGTAATAGACTCGCCATTTTCCTGAAGGTGTGCCGCAGTAGGCACCACTTGCATAGCGAGTAGGCGTGAATTCGAGGCGGATCAGACATATTTAAGTTAAATTTTGTTGAACGATATACGCCCCCTCTTTCCCTGTATATCAGGAGCTTTTTTTCAAAATGAGCTAAATCCGGAGCTGAAACTATAGCTACAATATAGTTTTATTAGCCATCATTGCTCTCAGCTTTTCTCTAAAACAATAGTATTAAATTATATTGTTATTATTTATAACTTGTTATTATTCTTTGAGAAAAATATAGGAGTAAATAGGTGACAAAGGAGCTTAATTTGAACAAGTTTTGGTTCCGTAATTGACCTATTTCAAAAAAAAGGGGTCCACATATATCTCTCCTCTTGAATGACTATCGCAAATGATGTGGCGCCTTCGCACGCTTTTCTTGTTGTCACATTTGTAAATTTTTGTAACTAAATATCCGTGATAACGTACTCGAAATAAGTGTGTGGCTACACCTCTCTATAGTGCTTCCATTTTCTGTAACTAATACTATCGCATGTTATTTATTAAGTACCGTTCAAAAATAATAATTATGCCACCAGAAAATATAGCAATATATACTACAAAACTGAAGTATTATTTCAGTATCTTTAGGATGAGCGTGGGCTACTTCGCTCTTGTGTGTAGGCATGCACACGGAGCGTAATAAAGGGTTTACCTGTTTCACATGGAACGAAGATGCATATAGCGTACTCAAGTTCAAAACTAAAGCATGAACTAATAATGATGGAGTTCATATATTATTATTATTATTATTATTATTATTACTATTATTATTATTATTATTATTATTATTATTATTATTATTATTATTATTATTATTATTATTATTATTATTATTATTATTATTATTATTATTATTATTATTATTATTATTATTATTATTATTATTATTATTGACAAAAACAACAAGAACTTTAATAATATTATTACCAATAACAATCATAATTTAAAATAAAGAGAATCAAACCTGTGGCAGGTCTTTTCACAGTGACCGAAGACTCTTCGGAGTAGCAAGGAATGCACCCGAGTGGCGCGCTTAACCTCGCGCGCACTTCGTACGCGGCATTGTCATCGGCAACATCAATTTTGCACTTCATCGAGTCACCGTTGGCCGTGTAAAGTGCGCAGTTCTTCTCAGACGAAGAGATTACGCAGACAATGACGTGAATCATTGCGTTGTGCGCCGTACTCCATGTCACAATAAGCGACGTGTCGCTGATGAAAGTCGCTCGGAGGCCATCAACCGTAGGATCTGTTAAAAATAAAGACCCATACCTAAATCACTGAATCACTTCACATAGAGCTCACGTTTCTATCTTTCGTTATCAGCAGTTTTCATTGCCTATTTGATATTATGGGAATTTGACATTATCTTTCAATAGTATTGAAAGTTGGGCTAGTTGGAAGAGCAGCATTTTTGGGTACAGTGCGAGACCGACAAAGACAGGAGAGTACCGAAGTGAGACAGACGAGCGCGGTGTTTTCAGCCCATGTGCCTTTAAATGATTTGCCGTGAATTTGTTTTATTCAATTTGACCATTTTTGCGCAGTGTTCATATGATTACTTTTTTGTCGTTTTTATTGCTTTCACGTTATTGTGTTATTCAAATAAAACTTTTCGCTTGTGAGTCAGAGACCTTCTGTGTCTTTTCTGTACTCTCCTGTTTTCGTCGGTCTCACACTGCAACCAAAATTACATTATTTTTGACCATAGGGTTCGTATGAGCGCAGGCCTTCGGATTCGCTTCGCAAAAATTCCAGTCCGAAGCCACCGAGTGGTTTTCAATGATTCGTAAACGGCTCACTGTACCAGGTGGTATAGCAATAATTTTCAAGACTCACGAATGTCGCAGGTCGTCACATTCACGTCGGCGTATCTTGCGTACGCTGCTTCACCGTCCATTTTGGCCACCCTTATATTGTACTCCTTTCCGGGCACGAGGTTTCTAAGAGTCACCGAGGTGTCATGCGTGAAGGTGATCACTGGTGGTGCGTGTGTGGCTAGAGCGGACACTTTGTATTTTGCTATGCTGTCGGCCGAAGCGGTCCACTTCACTTCGACGGAGGAGTTGTCCAGAACTCTCGCAGTCAAACTTTCGATCACTGGAACTGAGCGAAGATGAAAGCAGAAATGCAGTAAAACTGTGTTTTTAAGCAGTATTCGAGAAGTGTTCCAGATATTACAGTCACTTGTATGTTTGGGCAAGCCGCTTCATCTTGCGAGCAACTTAAACCGCACGAAAAAAGAAAATAAATAATGACAATAAAGCGAACACACAGCAGACTATCCCAATGGGTGCGGTATGTCAGAGGGCCGTGCATTTCGATTTAGGTGCATTAAAAAAAAGCCTACATGGTCAAAACCCACCATTTTCTGGTGCTTTGGTCGATGCCATTCTTCAGAATCATGTTATGGTTTTGCAACGCAAAACCCTCAATAGTTAGCAATGTCGATAACATTGCATGCAAGACACTAGTAGTATTTTTTTTTTCCAGATCTAGCTCGAGCAACGGCGATAACGCTCTACTGATCCACCACTCTTGTACAAAAACGCGTACGCTTTCCGTTGACAATCCCGCAGGGCTACGTACAACCAAGCATCGCAAAGGATACGTAGAACGCACCAACAGTGTCATCTATCGCATTCTCCGTTCATGCATGGGATGCTATATGTACCAAGCAGGAATTTGTCGGCACGACCAGCCTTTGAACACGACAAAAATAGGCGCAACGTTAGAGAAGTTCTTTTTTTTGCTGGGGGGGGGGGAGGCATTCGTTGCCGTTCTTGCGGATGCACCCCCCTGTTTGAAGAAACTATAATTATCGGCAGACATCAAAACTAGCGAACTCGCGAAATTATCGAAGCCGCCCATACTGCCCAAGGAGGTTCATTATGCGTCAGCATGGTATATGTGTTCATCATCGGAGGAAGTTTCTTTCTTGGAACAGTGCATGTAAATATTCCTCGAAATAAATCTTGTCGTGGTTTATACTTTCTTCCCATGTTTTTCAATATATGCTTTTCTTTCGTGCTAAACAAATATTCAGTTGCTACCCAGCGTTTCTCTGTTTCATCTTTTGTGTCCCTGTGTAGAATATCACACTGTTCGTACCTAATTACCAAATGAAGGGCTGACTGAGACAATACAATGACTGCGCTTCATCGTCATCGTAAATTTGCCAGACCACTGCTGCTACACGCCGCATTTTACCCAAAGAGAATGCTTGTTAGTTTTTTCAGAGCCCGTATATTCCGAGTTCCTACACATGAACGCAAGGCTATAAAGCAGCAAGGCGACGCCATTCTACCTGACAAAATCACTTTCCTTTATATGAAATGTATACTTTCCTATTAAAAAATTGCTTTGTACATAGTAGTTTGCAATTCGCATTCTAACTGAGGACTTCAAATTACAGTCAATTGAGCCATAACTAATGCAAATACTGGGAACTAGATTCAGGTAATTAAAAAACAGTCGCTTGCTCCCACTTGACTTATTCTACTTGATATTGGCTCCAATTTACTCGGAATGTCTCTCAGTTACATTCGGTTTATTTTTAATTATTTAGGTTGCTTTAAATATTGTTGGGTGTCTCGTAATATTTTATCGACTTTTTGGGGTCGCTCATGTTCTATACGTCGTTGAGAGCTTTTTATATTTGCTGAGGCAGTGAAGGCTTCTACTTCGAAGGAAATGGTAATAGACTCACCATTTTCCTGAAGGTGTGCCGCAGTAGGCACCACTTGCATAGCGAGTAGGCGTGAATTCGAGGCGGATCAGACATATTTAAGTTAAATTTTGTTGGACGATATACGCCCCCTCTTTCCCTGTATATCAGGAGCTTTTTTTCAAAATGAGCTAAATCCGGAGCTGAAACTATAGCTACAATATAGTTTTATTAGCCATCATTGCTCTCAGCTTTTCTCTAAAACAATAGTATTAAATTATTATTGTTATTATTTATAACTTGTTATTATTCTTTGAGAAAAAATATAGGAGTAAATAGGTGACAAAGGAGCTTAATTTGAACAAGTTTTGGTTCCGTAATTGACCTATTTCAAAAAAAAAAGGGGTCCACATATATCTCTCCTCTTGAATGACTATCGCAAATGATGTGGCGCCTTCGCACGCTTTTCTTGTTGTCACATTTGTAAATTTTTGTAACTAAATATCCGTGATAACGTACTCGAAATAAGTGTGTGGCTACACCTCTCTATAGCGCTTCCATTTTCTGTAACTAATACTATCGCATGTTATTTATTAAGTACCGTTCAAAAATAATAATTATGCCACCAGAAAATATAGCAATATATACTACAAAACTGAAGTATTATTTCAGTATTTTTAGGATGAGCGTGGGCTACTTCGCTCTTGTGTGTAGGCATGCACACGGAGCGTAATATAGGGTTTACCTGTTTCACATGGAACGAAGATGCATATAGCGTACTCAAGTTCAAAACTAAAGCATGAACTAATAATGACGGAGTTCATATATTATCATTATTATTATTATTATTATTATTATTATTATTATTATTATTATTATTATTATTATTATTATTATTATTATTATTATTATTATTATTGATAAACAACAACAAGAACTTTAATGATATTATTACCAATAACAATCATAATTTAAAATAAAGAGAATCAAACCTGTGGCAGGTCTTTTCACAGTGACCGAAGACTCTTCGGAGTAGCAAGGAATGCACCCGAGTGGCGCGCTTAACCTCGCGCGCACTTCGTACGCGGCATTGTCATCGGCAACATCGATTTTGCACTTCATCGAGTCACCGTTGGCCGTGTAAAGTGCGCAGTTCTTCTCAGACGAAGAGATTACGCAGACAATGACGTGAATCATTGCGTTGTGCGCCGTACTCCATGTCACAATAAGCGACGTGTCGCTGATGAAAGTCGCTCGGAGGCCATCAACCGTAGGATCTGTTAAAAATAAAGACCCATACCTAAATCACTGAATCACTTCACATAGAGCTCACGTGTCTATCTTTCGTTATCAGCAGTTTTCATTGCCTATTTGATATTATGGGAATTTGACATTATCTTTCAATAGTATTGAAAGTTGGGCTAGTTGGAAGAGCAGCATTTTTGGGTACAGTGCGAGACCGACAAAGACAGGAGAGTACAGAAGTGAGACAGACGAGCGTGGTGTTTTCAGCCCATGTGCCTTTAAGTGATTTGCCATGAATTTGTTTTATTCAATTTGACCATTTTTGCGCAATGTTCATATGATTACTTTTTTTGTCGTTTTTATTTCTTTCACGTTATTGTGTTATTCAAATAAAACTTTTCGCTTGTGAGTCAGCGACCTTCTGTGTCTTTTCTGTACTCTCCTGTTTTCGTCGGTCTCACACTGTAACCAAAATACATTATTTTTGACCATAGGGTTCGTATGAGCGCAGGCCTTCGAATTCGCTTCGCAAAAATTCCAGTCCGAAGCCACCGAGTGGTTTTCAATGATTCGTAAACGGCTCACTGAGCAGGTGGCAAAGCAATAATATTCAAGACTCTACGAATGTCGCAGGTCGTCACATTCACGTCGGCGTATCTTGCGTACGCTGCTTCACCGTCCATTTTGGCCACCCTTATATTGTACTCCTTTCCGGGCACGAGGTTTCTAAGAGTCACCGAGGTGTCATGCGTGAAGGTGATCACTGGTGGTGCGTGTGTGGCTAGAGCGGTCACTTTGTATTTTGCTATGCTGTCGGCCGAAGCGGTCCACTTCACTTCGACGGAAGAGTTGTCCAGAACTCTCGCAGCCAAACTTTCGATCACTGGAACTGAGCGAAGATGAAAACAGAAATGCAGTAAAACTGTGTTTTTTAAGCAGTATTCGAGAAGTGTTCAGATATTACAATCACTTGTATGTTTGGGCAAGCCGCTTCATCTTGCGAGCAACTTAAACCGCACGAAAAAAGAAAACAAATAATGACAATAAAGCGAACACACAGCAGACTATTCCGATGGGTGCGGTATGTCAGAGGGCCGTGCATTTCGATCTAGGTGCATTAAAAAAAAGCTACATGGTCAAAACCCACCATTTTCTGGTGCTTTGGTCGATGCCATTCTTCAGAATCATGTAATGGTTTTGCAACGCAAAACCCTCAATAGTTAGCAATTTCGATAACATTGCATGCAACACACTAGTAGTATTTTTTTTCCAGATCTAGCTCGAGCATCGGCGATAACGCTCAACTGATCCACCATTCTTGTACAAAAACGCGTACGCTTTCCGTTGACAATCCCGCAGCGCTACGTACAACCAAGCATCGCAAAGGATACGTAGAACGCACCAACAGAGTCATCTATCGCATTCTCCGTTCATGCATGGGATGCTATGTGTACCAAGCAGGAATTTGTCGGCAAGACCGCCCTTTGAACACGACAAAAATAGGCGCAATGTTAGAGAAGTTCTTTTTTTTGCTGGGGGGGGGGGGGGCATTCGTTGCCGTTCTTGCGGATGCACCCCCCTGTTTGAAGAAACTATAATTATCGGCAGACATCAAAACTAGCGACACTCGCGAAATTATCGAAGCCGCCCATACTGCCCAAGGAGGTTCATTATGCGTCAGCATGGTATATGTGTTCATCATCGGAGGAAGTTTCTTTCTTGGAACAGTGCATGTAAATATTGCCTCGAAATAAATCTTGTCGTAGTTTATACTTTCTTCCCATGTTTTTCAATATATGCTTTTCTTTCGTGCTAAACAAAGATTCAGTTGCTACCCAGCGTTTCTCTGTTTCATCTTTTGTGTCCCTGTGTAGAACATCACACTGTTCGTATCCTAATTACCAAATGAAGGGCTGACTGAGACAATACAATGACTGCGCTTCATCGTCATCGTAATTTGCCAGACCACTGCTGCTACACGCCGCATTTTACCCAAAGAGAATGCTTGTTAGTTTTTTCAGAGCCCGTATATTCCGAGTTCCTACACATGAACGCGAGGCTATAAAGCAGCAAGGCGACGCCATTCTACCTGACAAAATCACTTTCCTTTATATGAAATGTATACTTTCCTATTAAAAAATTGCTTTGTACATAGTAGTTTGCAATTCGCATTCTAACTGAGGACTTCAAATTACAGTCAATTGAGCCATAACTAATGCAAATACTGGGAACTAGATTCAGGTAATTAAAAAACAGTCGCTTGCTCCCACTTGACTTATTCTACTTGATATTGGCTCCAATTTACTCGGAATGTCTCTCAGTTACATTCAGTTTATTTTTAATTATTTAAGTTGCTTTAAATATTGTTGGGTGTCTCGTAATATTTTATCGACTTTTTGGGGTCGCTCATGTTCTATACGTCGATGAGAGCTTTTTATATTTGCTGAGGCAGTGAAGGCTTCTACTTCGAAGGAAATGGTAATAGACTCGCCATTTTCCTGAAGGTGTGCCGCAGTAGGCACCACTTGCATAGCGAGTAGGCGTGAATTCGAGGCGGATCAGACATATTTAAGTTAAATTTTGTTGGACGATATACGCCCCCTCTTTCCCTGTATATCAGGAGCTTTTTTTTAAAAATGAGCTAAATCCGGAGCTGAAACTATAGCTACAATATAGCTTTATTAGCCATCATTGCTCTCAGCTTTTCTCTAAAACAATAGTATTAAATTATTATTGTTATTATTTATAACTTGTTATTATTCTTTGAGAAAAAATATAGGAGTAAATAGGTGACAAAGGAGCTCAATTTGAACAAGTTTTGGTTCCGTAATTGACCTATTTCAAAAAAAAAGGCGTCCACATATATCTCTCCTCTTGATGAACTATCGCAAATGATGTGGCGCCTTCGCACGCTTTTCTTGTTGTCACATTTGTAAATTTTCGTAACTAAATATCCGTGATAACGTACTCGAAATAAGTGTGTGGCTACACCTCTCTATAGCGCTTCCATTTTCTGTAACTAATACTATCGCATGTTATTTATTAAGTACCGTTCAAAAATAATAATTATGCCACCAGAAATATAGCAATATATACTACAAAACTGAAGTATTATTTCAGTATTTTTAGGATGAGCGTGGGCTACTTCGCTCTTGTGTGTAGGCATGCACACGGAGCGTAATATAGGGTTTACCTGTTTCACATGGAACGAAGGTGCATATAGCGTACTCAAGTTCAAAACTAAAGCATGAACTAATAATGACGGAGTTCATATATTATCATTATTATTATTATTATTATTATTATTATTATTATTATTATTATTATTATTATTATTATTATTATTATTATTATATTATTATTATTGATAAACAACAAGAACTTTAATGATATTATTACCAATAACAATCATAATTTAAAATAAAGAGAATCAAACCTGTGGCAGGTCTTTTCACAGTGACCGAAGACTCTTCGGAGTAGCAAGGAATGCACCCGAGTGGCGCGCTTAACCTCGCGCGCACTTCGTACGCGGCATTGTCATCGGCAACATCGATTTTGCACTTCATCGAGTCACCGTTGGCCGTGTAAAGTGCGCAGTTCTTCTCAGACGAAGAGATTACGCAGACAATGACGTGAATCATTGCGTTGTGCGCCGTACTCCATGTCACAATAAGCGACGTGTCGCTGATGAAAGTCGCTCGGAGGCCATCAACCGTAGGATCTGTTAAAAATAAAGACCCATACCTAAATCACTGAATCACTTCACATAGAGCTCACGTGTCTATCTTTCGTTAGCAGCAGTTTTCATTGCCTCATTTGATATTATGGGAATTTGACAATATCTTTCAATAGTATTGAAAGTTGGGCTAGTTGGAAGAGCAGCATTTTTGGGTACAGTGCGAGACCGACAAAGACAGAAGAGTACAGAAGTGAGACAGACGAGCGCGGTGTTTTCAGCCCATGTGCCGTTAGGGGATACGCCGTGAACTTGTTTTATTCAATTGGACCATTTTTTGCGCAATGTTCATATGATTAATTTTTTGTCGTTTTTATTGCTCTCACGTTATTGTGTTCTTAAAATTAAACTTTTCGCTTGTGAGTCAGCGACCTTCTGTGTCCTTTCTGTACTCTCCTGTTTTCGTTGGTCTCACATTGTAACAAAAACTACATTATTTTTGACCATAGGGTTCGTATGAGTGCAGGCCTTCGGATTCGCTTCGCAGAAATTCCAGTCCGAAGCCACCGAGTGGTTTATTTATTCATGATGAAATATTCAAACAGACTGAATCAATGTACTCATCTCAGATTCATAAACGGCTCACTGTTCAGGTGGTAAAGCAATAATTTTCAAGACTTACGAATGTCGCAGGTCGTCACATTCACGTCGGCGTATCTTGCGTACGCTGCTTCACCGTCCATTTTGGCCACCCTTATATTGTACTCCTTTCCGGGCACGAGGTTTTTAAGAGTCACCGAGGTGTTATGCGTGAAGAGGATCACTGGTGGTACGTGTGTGGCTAGAGCGGTACACTTTGTATTTTGCTATGCTGTCGGCCGAAGCGTTCCACTTCACTTCGACGGAGGAGTTGTCCAGAACTCTCGCAGTCAAACTTTCGATCACTGGAACTGAGCGAAGATGAAAACAGAAATGCAGTAAAACTGTGTTTTTAAGCAGTATTCGAGAAGTGTCCAAATATTACAATCACTTGTATGTTTGGGCATGCCGCTTCATCTTGCGAGCAACTTGAACCGCATGAAAAAAAAACAAATAATGACAATAAAGAGAACACACTCCAGACTATTCCGATGGGTGCGGTATGTCAGAGGACCGTGCATTTCGGTTTTGGTGCACTTAAAAAAAAGCCTACATGGTCAAAACCCACCTTCTTCTGGTGCTTTCGTCGATGCCATTCTTCATAATCATGTTATGGTTTTGCAACGCTAAACCCTCAATAATTAGCCATTTCAAAAACAATGCATGCAAGACACTAGTAATATTTTTAGGGCCGAAGCTGGGCGTGGGCTGTGCGTCTCCTGTAGCCTGTATGTAGCCACCTCTAGTTTAGTTCTTGCAGTGTTCACTAGATGGCGGTACCGTCTCCTGTATGTAGCCACCTCTCGTTTAGTTCTTGTAGTGTTTACTAGATGGTGGTACTTGTAGCTGATGATGAAAAGATGCAAGATGTTATAAACTAGAAAGCGGTACTTGTAGTTGATGAAAGATGCGAGATCTTATAAAATAGGAATGATGTCACATATGGCGCGTGTCTTTGGTTGAAGGCAATCGTTCGATTTAGTGCGGCGACGTACGCTAGGGGGAGCGTTGTAATAAAATCCGTTCGCTGTTGGCGCGCGCTCGGAGTCGCCGGATAACTAGTAGTATTTTTTTTTTCCGGATCTAGCTCGAGGATCGGTAATAACAGTCCACTGATCCACCACTCTTGTACAAAAACGCGTACGCTTTCCGTTGACAATCCCGCAGCGCTACGTACAACCAAGCATCGCAAATGATGCGTAGAACGCACCAACAGCGTCATCTATTGCATTCTCCATTCATGCATGGGATGCTATGTGTACCAAGCAGGAATTTGTCGGCAAGACCGCCCGTTGAACACGACAAAAATAGGCGCAATGTTAGAGAAGTTCTTTTTTTGGGGGGGGCCATTCGTTGCCGTTCTTGCGGATGCACCCCCCTGTTTGAAGAAACTATAATTATCGGCAGACATCAAAACTAGCGAACTCACGAAATTATCGAAGCCGCCCATGCTGCCCTAGGAGAATCATTATGCGTCAGCATGGTATATGTGTTCATCATCGGAGGAAGTTTCTTTCTTGGAACAGTGCATGTAAATATTCCTCGAAATAAATCTTGTCGTAGTTTATACTTTCTTCCCATGTTTTTCAATATATGCTCTTCTTTCGTGCTAAACAAACATTCAGTTGCTACCCAGCGTTTCTCCGTTTCATCTTTTGTGTCTCTGTGTAGAACATCACACTGTTCGTTCCTATTTACCAAATGAAGGGCTGACTGAGACAATACAATGACTGCGCTTCATCGTCATCGTAAATTTGCCAGGCCACTGCTGCTACACCCTGCACATTACCCAAAGAGAATGCTTGTTAGTTTATTTCAGAGCCCGTATATTCCGAGTTTCTACGCATGAACGCAAGGCTATAAAGCAGCAAGGCGACGCCATTATACCTGACAACATCACTTTCCTTTAAATGAAATGTATACTTTACTATTCAAAAAAATTGCTTTGTACATAGTAGTTTACAATTTGCATTCTAACTGAGGACTTCAAATTACAGTCAATTGAGCCATAACTAATGCAAATACTGGGAACTAGATTCAGGTAATTAAGAAACAGTCGCTTGCTCCCACTTGACTTATTCTACTTGATATTGGCTCCAATTTACTCGGAATGTCTCTCAGTTACATTCAGTTTATTTTTAATTATTTAGGTTGCTTTAAATATTGTTGGGTGTCTCGTAATATTTTATCGACTTTTTGGGGTCGCTCATGTTCTATACATCGATGAGAGCTTTTTATATTTGCTGAGGCAGTGAAGGCTTCTACTTCGAAGGAAATGGTAATAGACTCACCATTTTCCTGAAGGTGTGCCGCAGTAAAGGTATCCAGATGTAGTAGCAACATGAAAAACAAAAGAGTTGCTGTAGAAACAAGCTGGGTGTTCTTGTAATATTTTTCTGGACTTATGGGTTACGATCAAATTCAAGGGAAAGCTTGTCGCAGTGCTAGGCAGTCACATTAGCAAGAATAATGTAAACACCGCTGATACTAACAATCCAAAAGTTGAGATTACACTGCCCAATTTTTTTACCTTTGCGTGCGACGTAATAGTGAAACACCTCATATATATCAGATAAAGTTAGAAGTTCAGTGCAAGTTACATATACCAAACTCCCACGTAATGAATCATTCTTCATATCGACCATTTGTACAATACCCTTAATTATGTATTTATATCTATATAAAAGGTTTTATATGCCGAAGTACCATTATATAACTCTTCTTGTAATTCGGTTTCAATTTCGTAAGTATGAGTTGCACGGTGTACTCTCACCAGCCCCAGTTGGGAATGTGCTTATTGGGTGGACATGGGGGCAGGTAACAATCAAGATGCTGAACTACTGGGCTACTCATTCTGATCCTCTTAGTCTGCTGGGTAAAGTTTGTTAGTGAACAATATATATTAAAATGGGCACACTAGAACCCCATATGCCACGTTAAGGGCGAATATAGCATGAACATCTAAGTAACAAACATAAGACAAAAGCCTGTTTCTTTTTATGGTGATAAGTTTATTACTTTACCGATGTTCTTCTGCAAGGTTTAGAGAATTTGGTTCATTGATAGGATTTTACTTGTGGTACACGAACACCCTTCACGTATACGTGAGAATTCACAGCCTCTTCTGATAGAGTATCTACATTTTAGAATGTTCAGTAACAAATGTTTCCTACAGTAGAGTAATATCAATATTAGCGAAACATACTACAGACGCTTCCAAACGAAGAAATTATAGAAACTCTGCCCACACTATCGCACCACACCTGCTCTTCGACTGCGGCAGACCATCGGCCACTCTATGCGCAGACGCTCTTAGACCACCATCCCAACCGTTCGTCAGCCCACGAGTGTGCATTTTTTTGAAGGCGATGTTCTTGTGAGGAGCGTACCACTTGGGTTGCAGTTTTGCACAAGACACTTAGTTCACTACTTTTCGACTTTTCTTTGAACAGTGAAATTAATAAATAAGAATAAATGGGAAGCCTTACTATTGAGTGAAGAATAAATGAATTTTCTTCATCGCCCTCAATTTAGACTGAATCCTCTTTGTAAGCCTCCAGGTTTTTTCTCCGTTGTGAGTACTGGCAAGATGCAGCTGTTGTATACTTTCCTCTTTATTGTTATTGACAGATTACCATACATTATTTGAGAATGCTTGCCGAATATGATGCACCCTATCCTGGTTATTCTAGTTACGTCACTATCGTTGTTCGGCTTAGCGTTTACTACCTGTCCTAAGTAGACATAATCTTTTACAACTTTCAACGTCTTTCCACCTATCGCAAAGTGCTGTTCATGGTCGAGACTGTTGCACATTACTTTATTTTTTAACTTATTTATTTTTGGACCTACTTTTCAGCTTTAGGTGTCCAATACTGTTTCGGTGTCATGTCCAGAGAGAAGTAGGGAAGAAGAAAAGAACTAAACACAAAATATAGAACTACTTAAGAAAAAGGATACAAATAAAGAATTGCATCAAGAAACAGGCAAAAAAAAAGAAATTCAAACTACTCATAGCACGAGAGAAAAACATTAAAGCAACTAAACATAGTTTTCAAGATCGTCCAGTTTCGCTGTTTTAAGTGATTCTTGCAAGCTTAACTCTTTTTTTTTTCATCTTTCTTTATCACTCTCTCATTGCTTTCTATTTATTCCCTTTCCCTAATCCCAGTCTGGAATAGCTAACCGGATGCTCTTTTGGTTAAAATGCGTGTCTGCTCCTCTTCTGATCCCTTCCTATCACCCAAGGCACTTGTCTTTGCGCACACGCAAAACGAGAACCACGTGCCCTCTACGTAGTGCGCTTTTAGCGAACCGAACCTTTTATAAACTACGGTTAAGGTTTCCCCTGACATACTAACCTGAGAGTCTACATGACACAAAAGGCCGGCCAGCAGAAGGACCATGATGGCGCGAAGCATTGTGCTGGTTCAAGGGGCTGCAACACGACTTCGAAGAAGCTAACCCGTCCCGACACCTCGGAAGCTGAAGTCCTCAAGAGCAGCGACGGAAGTTACAGCTGCCTTTTACGGACCCTCTGCGTAGACATTTTTTTCGCATGATAACGGTGATGGACGCGATATTAAGCTTGTCGTGTTTAAAACAATGGTGGGTGGAATTTTCAGTTTGGTGGAAGCAGGGACGTGTATTGTTTCTTAAACGAGATAATTAGGTGCTGCGCTCATGTGCGCAGTCTATCGTTCACTGTACTTGATACACTACGAATGTGCTCATTGGTAGGGTCATCCCTGGCATGACAAATAGTTCCGCTTGCTTGAGCCAGCAAAACTCCTACGTGGTGATTGACACCCGTGCATGCTGTACTGTACAAAAGGCTTCAAAAGCAAAGCAAAAAAAGCTTTCAAGATGCTTGAGTTACGTATTCGAAAGTAGAACTGCTGATAGAGTAATCAGACACAATGCGCATCGCCTTCAACCGTGCTGCGAGAAAAGGAACAGTTTGTCCCGCGTGATATTGGAAGTATCCTGACTGTCTTATGGATTTGCAGATTCCAACTGCCTCTTACGTCAAAATTCTTCCTTTTTTTCTTTCAAATCGGCCATTGACCCACCCACTAGGCGTCCGTAAGGTGTCATGCGCACCTGCGAAGCTGCACAACTTTGAATGGGTGGTGAACTTTAATCAGCATGCTCGTAATTCATGTGTTTCATGTGATTCATGTGTTTCGGCGCCTTGTTGCAATAATGAGATTCTGCCAGTGCAATGTTACATGCGTTAAGGAAGCTATTTTCAGCACATAGGTCTTCAAGCTTTTTTGTTTGTTTGTGAGGCAGTTTCAAGCACTATAGTGCCGCTCACTAGTGAAACACCTGTGTGCCACGAAGAATTTCCGTGTTTGATGCTTTCTAGCACCCAACACTTTTTTTTGTTATTAATTTGGATATACGTCGGATTTTTACTCGCCTAGCACGCTGATTTTTCTCTCGAAAGCAAAAATGGCGACCCGACACCAGCAAAAGAGTTTTTGTGAAGCGAGGTCTCTAACGCTCTCGCATTAAAAAAATTGCCAACCTAGCAAGCTTCTTATTTTTTTCCACGAACTCAATTAGCCTTTACGAAGCAGCAGGAGGGTGGAACTGCAAGGAGACCATGCGGATTTCATAGAGCGGATAGCCTACGTCGACTGATCTTAACTTCTTCTAATAGTCGTTTAAACCTTCTTAGTCACAATTACACAGTTGAAACGATTTTTAGGCAACAGTAACCAAAATAAGTAATCCGTTAACCAGCATTTCCTTTTGGGTGCACATTAAACAACCTAAGGTGGTCGAAATTTCTGGAGCCCTCTAGTACGCCATCTCTCGTAATCATATGGTGGTTTTGGGACGTTGAACCACACATATCGATCAACCAGCATTTTTTGAATCACTATTGCGGTCTTACCGTTACGAAGAAAATAGCGAGCCGGGGAGGATACCAAAAGTAGGGGTTAAACCGTAACTCTGCGCACATACTGCCATCACGGCTGCTACTACAGACAATAATAATAATAATAATAATAATAATAATAATAATAATAATAATAATAATAATAATAATAATAATAATAATAATAATAATAATGGTTGTTCTGGAATGTGCACGTAACAGTGTTGCGTACCACCCACATGAGAGAAAATACAGACAAAAGGATTGCTGTCTACGTCTACATGGTATATAGAACGTAAATTGCGGGTAAACGCAGCAAATAAAGGAACTGGTAGAAAACCCCTTGATGCGTCAATGAAAATCCCATAGACGGGAGTCACTTATTATTCAAAGGTAATAAGTACAGAGACCTTTACGAGTGATATAAATATTTGACAAAGTAACACATATGGAAACTGACATTGAACACGCACAACAAAAGTTAAACGCAAAAAGTAACCAGGGACAAGATGCACTCTAACCTTCAGCTCTTAAAGGTGAAGTTTAAAGATTCCCAGTTTGTGTTTACTTATTTTGCATCATTCTGGATTTTTCTGTCATGACTAAGATGATCTTACCGTCACAAGCAACAACACCGACACTGGAATTTCTGCAAAACGAGTTCTTTTATGCTGTCGCGTTAAAACGTTATTTTTGGCAGTGAGCGTAGGAGACAAGATGCCAGCTATCCTTTCATACGTTAAAGTTGTGGCGCTGTAGCTGCATGTTTGAAGACAAAGCATTGCTTTGCCAGTCATACCTACTGTATTGGCACTGTTTCATTGTTCGCGTTCTGATGGTGAGCCGCTTTGGTTTCTGTAACAATAGAAATACGGCTAAAATACAAAGACGGTGGACATATGTTTTGGTTAATGTCGGATGAGTAACGTGCCTTTTGATCGCTGTAATATCTGTTTACCATCTCTGTAAGGTATCTGACCTTTGAATGTCGTTAAATGTGAGCTAAGCAAAGCTGTCTTACTTAAAACAAATTATTGTCAACTTGTACAAAAATTTCCATTGTATTCATATCAGTCATCCCGAGACATGAGTCATTACCTAGCAGACCTTCAAATATCGCAGAAGGGTGTCTCGAAGAGCGAGTTGGTGCGTGATAATGACGGGAACAGCTCAAAAACGGGAAGGAGAAAATATCGCCACACAACACAAGCACTGACAAAACACTGTGTGTAAATTTATTGCACCTGCAAATATATAGCTGAAAAAGAAAACAAGTATAAAAGATCACGTGCACATCAAGGTGATATTCCAGAAAAATCTGCCACAGGGCGAAATTTTCCAACGTAACCGCTCAAAAACATAATCTCTTTATCTATGAGGGTGACTGAAGGCTCACTGACACGAATGATTTTTTTTTGTCGTCTTGATATAAAAAGCCTCGTTGATTTCGCGCTCTGTCCTGTTGCGATACCTTGAGAACATCTTGCAATTTTAAAATAGCTCCGTCCCTTTTTTGTGGTGTTCCCCCGAGTTTCAATTATAGCTTTAACAATTTTATCATGACCAATTATGATAAATAATCATTACCTAGGGAGCTCAAAATTTATGTCGTTACAAAACATTGAATTGCGGCATAGTTCTTTGGGATTGCAGCAGAAACGTAATCAAGCAGCCTAGAAGACAGGACAGAATGCTGGTGACGCAAAGTGTCTCTGTATATATGCCACACCTAACGAGAAATCAAGAAGACAAAATATGGAGTTCTAACTATTTGTTATCTTGGTGTTTTGTTGCCTTTGTGATTTTATGCGTACGAACATCACCGAAATGCCTTGAAGCTATTGGTATTACAGATTACTACAAACATTTTTTGCTAAAGCTTTTTATTGCATCCGAAGACATTGCACATTCCCTCTGAAAATGAAGAAGGTTTCGTTTACGTTTGTGCATTTTACGTATGTGTACAGCGGGAACTATTGACGGCATGCTCCTTTGCTGTGAAAGATTAGTGGGAAAGCCGGAGCAGTCAAGCTATCGTTATACAGGCTTCATTCTACCATCAGCACCCTAGCCGCATGAATTTGATTGCACATTTGTACAACAATGCCTAATCTATGATTGGTATAACAACGCTCGCTCATTCTAGACGTCTGAGAAAAGTAAGACAGTCCGCGCTCTTTACAGTTATTCGTTTTCGTTTCAGTTTTGCCGCCAAATTGGTAGGATTTCATTAATGGCCAGGGGCCGCTTTTGTAGAAAAGTTTGACAGCGGCAGCAGGTTCTTGGCATGAAGGGCTGCCATTTTCTCATTACACTCAACCACTACTTTCGCCCAATTGAATGTTAGCTTGATTTCTTTATTACGGCTGTAATTGATGCCTCTGTTCATCTTGATTTGTGCAGTAAGGTACACTAGTGGTAGCATTTTAGGCTGTATGAAAAAGTACTTGTGAATATTGTAATGCAAAGTTTAGAAGTAATAGTGTTATGCTATTGACAATGACAACCGGACTTGTCACCATGACAGCGGATGCTGCTGGCAGAAAAAAAAGTATGTCGCGGTAGTTTCCTCAAATTTTTTTATGCACCGACTGACTTATCTCTTGTGCTACAGCCATTATAATGTCGGGGTAGTGGAAGGGCATTCTGTGTGTTGTTACTACAGAGCATGGTATGCTATAGAAAGACTTCACTTATGCCTACCGGGGCGGGAACTAGCAGGTAGTGCGTCGCTTCCGACTACCAAATAATGTATGCCTCTTTGACAATACTCGTCTGCATATCCTTCATAATCTTCGAAAGAAGCACTCCGATCAGCGTATCACAAGAGGATTGTTCCCTCCTCGTATTTGCGGTCGTGCATTGTCTCATCGTGACTGAGCCCTGTTAAACAAGCTAAGAGTTGGTTCTGTATAAGCCCCCGAACAATTAAATCGCCAAACAAGCGGGGATGATCCAATCGTGTGGCTCCTGTGAGACACCAAAAACACAGCCTTTTGTAGTGTCCCACTAGGCAGCCACCCTTGCTCACGAAGAAATATGAAGTTATTGAACTTATGCACACGACCATTGACGATTGCCTGTACCCGAAAGAATGGGCTACTCTAAGTGACTACGCCTGCCTAGCCCTGCTAAGCCGATTTGGCCTCGTGTTTATAGACATCTTTCATTCGACTACTTCTCTGTGTTTAAATATCTGTTATTTGTTTTTCTTTCTTTTTCTTTGTTCTTCTCTATCTTCTCTCGCTTTTATTCTCCTTTCCTCGATGTTTTCCTTTGCCTAAGGAGCAGGCAGCCGACTTTGTGCCCTTCTGAGTGGAAGTTGCCAGCAGTTCTCTTCCAATTTCCTATGTCTTCGTGTTTTTTATGAATGCAAACGAAAAGATGAACTAAATAAACCATTCTAAAGCTCTGTTGCAGAGCAAGAATATGTATGTGTTGTCAAAATAGCAGGGCCCGTGTCTCAAATTAGCTTCTTTGCTGAAGCGTTACGTGGACTTCCGAAGACGACATAGCCTCGACAAAACCCTACGACATACCATCGGGCTGCGATAGCATACCACGTTCCGAAATGCGGTACATTAGAATCTTCTTCGGTCGAACTATTTGTGCCCGTGATGTGTCACGGAGCATAAACTGGAGTTACACGTGAAGAATGAAATCTCAATTGATGCATTGAACCATGCAAGATAAAGTGATACGTCTTACCTTGAAGAAGAGAAAGATAGCCGACTTGTTTGGGGAGCAAACGGTTCTTAAGCGCATTTTAGTCAAAATGAAGAAACGCAAGTAACCGTGGCCAGAGAATGCAGCCCGTAGGCAAGATAACCACTAGTCATGGGTAACAGATTGTATTCTAAGAAAAAGCAGACGTGTGAGGGAAAGCAGTACGTTAGGTGGCCAGATCAGATGAGAAAATCTGCGGGTATAACGTGGTACAGGTAACGTGGCACAGGTTCTGGATCATTGGTGAAACAGAAGAGGTGTTTGCCCTTCAGCAAACGCAGCCAAGGTGTTGAGGTAATATCTTACAATTTTTCAATTGCAAATCCTTGGCTTACGATTGTGAGTAGCACTTGGTGTTTCAATAAAAGAAGCTGCTGTAACTCGACAGTGAAAGTCACAGAATCTTTTGTGACATTTTATATTACGAGCAGAAAAAATTATTTCTCAATATATTCAAAAATGTTTAATTATTGAGATCTCTTCTCATCAAGACTGAAGTGCGCTCTCCTCAGTGAGTTTCCTTGGAAGCAATAAAGATGCATTGATGAAAGCACAGGATTTCTCCTCAGCTGGACCATATTGAGGTAAGGAAGAGTGATGCCAGCGTCAGAAGTCCATAAACATCATTGAATGAACCAGTGTTGTGCCCACCTGCACAGATAGCAAAAGGATACATGGTTATAAAACGAGTACCTGAATACGATGGCAATATCAGTTCTCGCTAGAACAAAAGTTTTTTCAGTAGATTTTTCTCCGAAGAAACGCGTATAACGAATTCCCACATACAAAAAAAAAACATACCAAGTCACGGTCCACTGATGTGACTTACAGGCTTAGTATTTTCAATTGTTATGGCAATGGCTAAGTGCTTGGTGATTGACACAGAAACCATCGGGTCAATTTGTACCGTGGCTGGCGCATCTTAACCAGGCAGAATACAAGTGGTTATTCGACATAAAATAAATCGGTGCTGTTACACTGACTGAAGGACTAGGAATCCGAACCTCCGGCCACATGATCTACAGCACGCTGCTTTGGATTACTCAGCCAGGCAATGTACGCCCTCAAACTGATAACGCGAGCTATTTTATACACTATATACCACTGGCGGCATACACCACTTGGAGGTGCTCGAGCGTGTTTCCTGTTACCCGCGAGGAGGCGCGCGGAGCGCATTAGGTGAAAGGCCTTCGATCATGCTTCGCGGAGTTCAATGTGCATGCGCCTTCAACCTGCACGCTGACCTGCACGGCACCGTCATCTGTGCTCGGGCTTATCCCGTGAAGTATCGTAGGTTTCGTCCTTTCACCGTAAAGTTTGAATTGAAGCTACAGACCACTAAAGAAAAATTGATTCGCTGCGGCGGTCGCGTTTGCGAAAAGAGCGAGCTGCATACTGAAAAAAGCCAAAGTAGGGACTAGTTTGTTGTGCATAGTCGACACTTGAAGCATGCTACTCGAACATAAAGATATAGAAATTGTGTCTGATGTAGCTCACCCTCACCAGGTATATACATGCGCGTTCTTTTCAGGTATCCTTCTTAACATCTGAGCAGCTTCCCACAAGTGTAGAGCTTTGGTAGTTGTCATTTCCCTTTCATCTTGTCTGTGCTCTTATTGTGCATTCTTTGTGCTTGAGTGGCAAGCTGCAAATTTCGATTTGATGCGGCTGTTCTTTTTTTCGACATTCCAATTTGTTGCTATCGAGTTCTCTACACCACTCTTGCGGCAACACTGTGATATTTGTTTCTTGTTAGAATTAAACATAAGTGAACAAATTTTTCAATACATTTTGCACTGAAGTGGCTGCAGTTATTTTTACTTTTCATCTAAATTATCACATCGAACACCCCTATTGTAGAAAGAGGGCTAGGGGCAAGCTCCGCCATTTTGTATACAGTAAAAGCATGCTGATTCGACACACGTTCATTCAGAAAATCAGGTAATTCAGACGTTGTCTCTTGTCCTAGGCAGAATACAAATTGTTCAAAGGCATCAAAGTCTCATTAATTAGCTGCCAGGCTGTAACACGATCAATTCGCACCACCCAAAAAGCACGCCACGCGCGGAATACTGCGATAGATATATGTGTGGAGTTGAACTTCCGAAAACCATGATATGAATATGCGAGACACCTGAGTGGAGGGCTCCTAAAATTTCGATTACCGGGGGTTCTTTAACGCGCAACCAAATATGAGCACATGGGCGTACAACATTTCCGCCTCCATCGGAAATGCAACCGCCGCAGCCGGGATTCGATCCTGCGGCTTGCGGGTGAGCAGCCGAGTACGTTAGCCACCATACCACCACAGCGGGGACGAAGTATCGTGAATGCGCGATGCCGAGGAGCGAAAACGAAGTTCGCGGGCCACCGAATCATATCGTCACAGTTCGTACTGTCACGCGCACTTCTCATTCTTCCTTTCATTTCATTCGGCTTTCGACCACACAGCCCCTCAGAATTTCTCAATGTAAACTGTACCTCATTGTTTGAGAAGGTTCGCGATTGTACGCAATTTATAGTTGACGCAATTTTACCTTGACGCCATTTATACTTTGGATGACCAGCAGTTCAGCGTGTGCTTCCTAGGTGATGGTGCCATTTCCTCTGAGACCAGGGGATGACAGTCGCTGAAAAAGAAGACAAGTCATACACATTCAGTACAATCGTAATATGGTCGGTTTAAACGTAAGAACAAATACAAGCGATGCCCTCATAACTGCGGTAAGCCTGTCATTTATCTAGGCGCAAATTTCGCGCTAAGTAGTAGTAGTAGTAGTAGTAGTAGTATTTTTATTTACAGTAAGCCAGATACAGAGCTCACTGCAGGGGCAAAGGGCTAAAGGCGAACAGCCTGACAAAGGCCCTTGTCCCTCCGCAGTCCGTGACAGTGCAAGCTTAAACAATATATATATTCAATACATTAGTTTCAAGCAACCTGAAATTGTAAACACAAAATACAAACATAAATAGCATAAGAAGTTTACATAACACATTTAAAAAATTATAGGTCACTCTCGTTATAATTCACAACTAAACAATATCAATGAAACAACTCAAAAACAGACATAAGAGGCATGTGGATACAATGAATTCCGCGGTATACACTCGTATAATTGACTTATAAGTTTATGAACAATTTAAGCATTTGTAGAGGCATGAGACTCCAATACGTAGTTTCGATAGTGTAGACCGGTGGTTATGAATAAGTTCTTTATTTGTTTCTTGAAAGTCGCACTACTAGCCCTAAAGTTCAATTGATCTGCAAGGGTATTTAAAACCTGAGGCACCTGGTAAGCAAAATAATTAACGAAAAGGAAAAAATAAATTGCGAGAAAGGAGAGTGATAGAGAGAGAGAGAGGGAGAGAGAGAGAGAAAGAAAGATATGTGAGAAAGAAAGAAAGTGGTTTTCTTTCTACTCGTAAGCATTATTGATCCGCGAAGTTGTTTAGCCTGTGGGTAACTTGTTCTCCATCGAAAAAAAAAAAGGCCAGCGTCATCATAAATCTGCATGTTCTGTCTTCCTTCGCCCCACAGTTAAGCTGTTTAACCGATCACAAGCTTTGTCGTGGCAAACTCTTCAGGTTATTGTGCGCCACAGGCATCGGGCAAGCATGCCTACCTTCTCCAGCAAGTTAGAGTGACAAAAGAAAAAAAGCGCATCAAAAAGAGAAATGAAAAACTACGAAAACGAAAACAGGGTGAAAAATTGATAGCAAGAAAGGAGAAATGAATAAAGGAAAAGAATAAAAGGATTACGAGATAAAATGACAGAAAAAGTGGTAGAAAAAAGAATAAAGAAGCGGTAAGAAACATTCATAAAATGAGATAGTAAAGAAGAAAGAACATGACAGAAAAAGAAGGGAAGAGAGAAATAAAGATACGTAAAAAGAGGCAAACAAAGAATCTGATAAATGGAGAGAATAAAATGAAAAATAGAGAAGGACAGACGAGACTTAGAAAGATAGAGAAAGCAAGACGGGAAGAGAAAGCAAGAAAGTGAGACAAGTAAAGAGCAAGCGAAAAGAAGAGAAGAAAGAGAAATAAATAGAAATAGTGAGAAAGAGAAAGCAAGACATAGACAGAAAAATAATTAACGAAAAGGAAAAAATAAATTGCGAGAAAGGAGAGTGATAGAGAGAGAGAGAGGGAGAGAGAGAGA